CGAGAGGAGATTGAGATAGTTCATGGCCATGCCAGTTTGAGTAGCTTCTGTGGAGAGGCCATTCTCCATGCGCGTAGTATGGGACTGCGGACTGTCTTCACAGACCATTCCCTCTTCGGATTCGCTGACGCAGCATCCATTCTGACCAACAAATTGCTCAAATTTACTTTGAGTGATGTTGATCATGCGATTTGCGTTAGTCACACTTGGTATGTTTCCCGCCGCCGTACTGCATCACTCGACTAACAATTTTCAGCAAGGAAAACACAGTACTTCGGGCTTCGTTGGATCCATTAATGGTGTCGGTCATTCCAAATGCGGTAGTAGCGGAGAATTTCTGTCCTCTGTCTCAAACTACTCGTCCGGCCGATCAGGGCCTGACCTCCCCCACCGATGCTCCAATGTCCCCCAGACAAATCGGGCCCGATGATCCGATCACAATCGTGGTCATCTCCCGACTTTTTTACAATAAGGGCACCGATCTTCTCATCGCATCTATTCCGCGGATTCTCGCCTCTAATCCCAATACTCGCTTCATCATTGCAGGATCAGGGCCCAAAGCAATCGACCTCGAGCAAATGTTGGAACGCAACGTGCTTCAGGACAAAGTCGAGCTTCTAGGTTCGGTCAGACACGAGGAAGTCCGAGATGTGATGGTGCGAGGTGACATTTATCTCCATCCTAGTCTTACAGAAGCATTCGGGACAGTCATTGTTGAAGCTGCTAGTTGTGGTCTTTACGTGGTCTGTACTCGTGTTGGAGGTATACCGGAAGTTTTACCCCAGCATATGACAACGTTCGCCAAACCGGAAGAGGACGATATTGTCCTAGCAACCGGCAAGGCAATCACGGCTTTGCGCTCAAACAAAGTGCGAACGGACCGATTTCATGATCAAGTGAAGATGATGTATTCATGGCGGGACGTGGCTGCACGCACCGAGCGCGTGTACGAAGGTGTTATTGGCGATATTAGCCCAGAGGAATTTTATGGTTACTATCCAGGCCAGGGCTGGGAAGCTAGTGGGGATCGCGTCCGCAGCTTTGCGCTGATTGACCGGTTGAAACGCTACTACGGCTGTGGTGTCTGGGCAGGCAAGCTGTTCTGCCTTTGTGTCGTGATTGACTTCTTGATCTATGTCTTCCTTGAGATGTGGTTCCCCCGAGCGAACATTGATATCGCACGAAGTTGGCCGAAAAAGCAACCGGCGAGTAAATCTCACGAGACCACCAGAAGTGTTCGCTGAGGAAAAAGAAACCAATGCTCAGCGCAGAGAACACCGGCCTGTCAATATATTTCCGATCGGCTCCAGTTATGTGCCTGTCCTGCTTGTCTCGGACAGCTCATGGCTTCTAATTGCCCTCCTTCACGTTCCCTTGTCCCGCACAGCCCATTTTTACATATTCCCATCCATAATAGCAATACATAATATTTACCTGATAAAAGAAAAGGGCTATATTTTCACACGCCTAGATTGGTATGGCCGGTGGTTGATAGTTAAAGAAACTCGAGTATCGAATAGACTCCATTGGTATATTAACAGAAAATGTAATGATCATGAACAAACGCCATTATGCACCTTGATATGCTGCGCTCGGCATCATATACGAGAATAGCCGACAGCCCCAACTTTGAATCAACGCATGACTGGAGGCCGACCCTCTTTGTTCCACTTCACACGACTTTGTACCCACTCCACCGCCGCCTGGACACCAGACCCAAGTAGCGCGCTGACCGGCAGCACACGGCTGTCGCGGACGCCGCTTCCTGTTTCTCCTTCAAATACCTTCCGGACAAGTCCTTCCTTGATGCGAACCACTTCCACGCAGTCCTCACGGTCCTGCTTATTTGCTAACACCAGGATAGGAACACCAGCCACGTCGGCACTTTGTAAGACCGACTCGAGAACTTGACGGCACTCGTCTAGTCGTCCAAACTCACTGCTGGCGGCGTTGATTCCAACGTTTTGCTCTGAAAATGCCTCTGCACTTGTGCTCCCTCGTGCACCGTTGCGTGTTGGACCTGCCACGGAGCTTGCGCGCCGAGCCAGTCGTGTGATATCGGGATCTTGACCAACGTCGGAACTGTCGACCACGAAGATGATCGCGTGGCAACTAGTGTAGTAGCTCTGCCAGAGTCCTCGCATCGAAATTTGACCTCCCACATCCCAAATCTTCAAGTTCATGTCGGGTAGAGATATCGTTGCGACATTCTGCCCAACGGTGGGGACGGTTTTTCCGGGGTTTGGTGCTGGGGCGCCGTCGGAACGGGGTTGGTACAGCGCCTTGATTTGGGAGAGAAGGGTTGTTTTGCCAGCGTTGTCTAAGCCCAGCAGGATAACAGAATACTCTATAGTTCAAGATAGTCAGCCTTGGAAGGTCATGCGATCGAAGACAGCAGTTTACCTTCTTTGCTCGTGGCGGCTAAGTACAGCGACTTGGCCAGGTGATACATGATCGCGTTCCCTATGGGGAGCTTCAAGGCCAAGCGCAATTGCAATTATAGAAAAACGGAATCGAAAACAGAAATCATGACATCGTCAGTTATCTGACGTTGAAGCTGTTCCCCGGGGCCGCGTTGCAGCCTCATCCGTTTTGGGACATTAGGGCTTAGGGCTGGGCTTGGATCTGGGGTTTCCAATCTGAACTACATCAGACAGAATGCACAACATATACTGTACATTGAAATCCAACATTCAAATATGATCCATCTCAAACCCAAAAATATGATGCGATAATGATGCACGCAATTCGCCAAATACCCCCTCGGGTTCGGTTTCCTTTTCATTCGGCAAATGGAAAACCATCGACTTTCCCGGCCTTCCTCTCCCCCACTTGCAACCACTCCGCTTTAGGGTTTGTCAGCTTCTGATTATTGATCGACGGAATACGAAGTCCCCCACATCTTGTCTAGATTCCAGTTTCCTCTTGAATTCCTGGAATGTTACAGTCCCTATGGCCTTGCTGTTGACCTCTGGTGAGAAGGCAGTGTGACAAGGACCTGCTCTGATTGGATGAATCTCGTTTTTACCTCGCATGCCTATACCAGTATGCTACACGCTGCATCAGTTATTTGATATACATCGCTGTCAATGGAGATTGATACTATCATCGTCGGTATGTTTATCATGGTTGTCCCATATCATGGCCATTCGGGACTTTTTTGCTCTTCCTAAGCCCCGTTATTCCACCCCGCGCTGTTCGAAGTCCTTGTGAAATGGCAACTGATTGAACCGATTGTACCAGGCAATGGGCCGTCGGCTATGATCCTTTCATACATACTCCATGGACACATCCCTTTCTACTCATCCGACCCTCCACATCCTGATCATTTATTGGACGCCAAGTTGAAAGCCGCCCCGGAGATCTTGAATGCCGATGTGAACTCTCTTACAGCGCACTTCGATGCCTCACGCCTATCATACTCGACTCAGGCCCTTCCCGTGAACGTCTTACTAGACACACTTGTACGGCCAAGTGTTGATGTGGATGAGCCCGGCTGCATCTCGAATATTGATTGGCGTTCACAGCCCGAGAAGGCTGTCTCGCATCTTGTGTTTGGAAAGCCCTTGAAGCCTGGAGGCCAATGGACAGAGGATCCATGGGGTGCGAACTGGGAAATCCAGACATTGAGTTATGCGGCAATGCTGTCCTTGCCGGGGTACTCCTTTGCCGACCATCACAAAAAGACCACGGGCAAAGATCTACCGTCATATACAAGACCCACAAGGCGCGAGATTGCCGATTATTTTTCTGCTTATCCGGAGGCTGTGCATATCGATGATGCGTTTCGATGTGGGGAAGAACTAGAGGGCATTTCCCGCACCGCTTCTGGGTTCTATGTTCGTTCTCATAACCTCCACTGCAAGCGCCTAGTCCTGGCAAGTGGAATTTTTTCCGAGATCCTCACACCAGAGCCGGTCTTACGTCCATTACTTGAGACTAAGCCCTCGATTGACGTCCCGCTACTCGTCGTTGGATCTGGATTCTCCGCTGCGGATGCCATCATCTCCGCCTCCCCAAACCAAAAGATTCTACACATATACAAATGGTCTCCGAATGACCGCCCATCGCCTCTCCGGGCCTGCCATCAGCAAGCATATCCTGAGTATGCTGGTGTCTACCGTCTTATGAAACGAGCTGCCCTCACAGCCGAGGCTGCAGCTAAAGACCAGCGGCCAAAGTACCGACGCGCGACTTCAACGCCATTCCTTGAAAGCCGGAATTGGGAAGACATATATGAAGGTCTTCCTAATGTTGAAGTGACAGCCGTGGAAGTTCACGGCGACCTGGCGACGGTCACATTCCGCCGCCAAGACGGAGCCGTGTTCTCTCGGCCTGTGCGCGGCCTCGTGTATGCTGCTGGCCGGCGAGGCACGCTCAATTACCTTGATCCTGAGCTCCGCTGTGAAGTGTTGGGGCAGGGCAATCAAGAGAATTCAGCAGTCACCGGCCAGACCCTCCGTGCGAAAGCAATCGAGGACCTGGAGGTTGCACCGGGAGTTTTCATCATCGGCAGCCTGACTGGAGATTCTCTGGTCAGGTTCTCATACGGCGGATGCGTCTACACTGCTGGGCACCTGATAGATGGCGAGCGGGACAGCCGCAGTGTCTGTAGCAGTCTCGCGTCATCTGCTAAAATACATGGTTCTTCGCTTTCCGTGATGAACGGCATGGATGGACACCTTGTCTACCCAACTGGCGATGCATCGGACCTAACTCGTGAAGATACCGTCAGCAAAATGTCAACCGTCACAGACCAGTCTGCTGTACGTGGTTGGTGGAAGACTTTCTCCCGCATATGGAACGATCTTACACGATAAGTGTAAGACGAGAATACGTTGCATGTATATCACGATCCCAACTGTAAAATTCTAGAAATGCCATGAAAAGGCACATATCTTGTTTCATATATTATACACGAGGATACTGTCCCTTGCTTGCTCCTTCATCCAAATTCTTCGATTGCAATTCACAATCAAACCTTCAACTTTTCCTTCAATTTACAATGAAAGATGCGTGGAAACCGCTAATAGCAGGAGTATAATGGGCTTCGCAGCCGTTCGCGTTAGTTTCTTCCGTCCCAATTGATCAGAGAACTTGTGTTCACCTCTCCGCCCAACACACTTCCAACAATCAAGCATATGGGCCAGGTCATATTTGTTCTTAGTCTCCAAAAGCCTGGGGTAGTTCGATCCAAAATACGTTTGCTCCCAATCTGGCTCGAGGTAATGTACTTCATTAAAGTACGTGCCACCAACAGGGCTCAATCTCTTCAACGGCTTGAGGATCTGCAAAAATGGCCCCGCGACACTTGCCTGCTTATCAGCCTCTAAAGGCTCTGCCCATTCCCCGACATGAATGGCACGCCACATCGCGTTGCGCCAAGCTGGATGCGCAGATGACATCTGGTTCTTATCGAGATTTGAGACTGGCGTTTCCAAGACGATTTGGGTACCAGTGAGACCCAGTTGACTTCTAGCGGTTGCGATGCCTTGTATGACACCCTCGACGAGTTCATCGATGGTTTGGGGGGCCGTTGAAAACCTTACGGAGATCAAGCGTGATGCCAATATGGAGAAGTTCCCAGACGGTTCCGTGACCTTGGCGTCGGCGACAGTAGTTGGCATAGTCAGGGTAAGAGGTATAGTGATTGGCAGAGACAGAAAAATCGGTTCTGTGGCTCAGGAATTCGGCAAATGAGGCACTGGCTGATCTCTATTTTAAGCCACCTCTATTTTAAGCCACCATCGCCATAGGGCAATACCATTGAGATCGCTATTTTCTCCGGGAAGTATTCAAGTTGGCCGGTACTGCATGAGCCGTCAGGATCGCGCGCAGAGCCACGTTCTGGGTGGCATCACTCGTGTCACCGGTACAATTGGCTGTGACGGTGTATGTATAGATGGACAGAGAAGGGTACACTTGAACTCGATACTTGGCGAGTACAGCAACAGTACCGCCTCCTCCGCCACACATGGCCCATAAGAGCTCGGGTTCGTTGCATTGATTGATAGTGCGGACTTTTCCATCTACTGTCACCACCTCGAACTCAACGGCCTTGTCGGCCATCATACCATAGGTGGTTGTGAATGACTCAACACCACCACCTTGGGCGAAAACACCGGCTAGTCCGACCCATTGCTCGTACCCTCCTGTGATATCCATTCCCTTCGAGCTGACGAAATGATGTGCGTCGGTTGCGATGACTCCAGCTCCAAGCTCCCGATATTCTGACTATTGGCCAAAGGGCAGTTGTGTGCAGTAAAATTGGAGTTGAACACGACTGAGTCAAGATTGTGAGTCCAAATGGAAATCGTGTTGGGAACTGACGATCGTCCGAAAAAGTCGTGACTTCACGCTGATGCGAATGTTGTGGGCATGTGTAAATCTTAGAGCCGCTGAGATATGAGACGCATCTCGAACATCCACATAATGATAGTCTCCCAAGCGTGCATGTGCTGAAGAGGAGCTCTGATGGTTCGGTTTCTTGTAAATCACATCCCACATCGCCCCATCTCCCAATTCAACCAATATGTCTGTCCGTAACGTGATCCCCTCGGAATACTATCACTGAAGTACTTCTCCACGGCCTGGCAAGCGACTTCATCATAATGGAAAGAGATTTTATAATAAGAGGCCGCGACTGGAACGGTCTCATACCAATGACCAACGATGGTCGCATTGAATTGTTGCTATTCTTTCGCCGATGGCCAGCACTTCTGTCCTGGGCGACACTTATAACTGGGGTCAATGGTAGCTGAGACTCCCAAGGCCAAGCGAATTTGGATGAAAGGAATCAAAGATAACATAGTCAAGGGCTCAAAGATACAAGCTGAGGTTCCTACTAGGCATTCAATAAACTACAGCTACTGACTCTCGGTGCAGTTATAGATCATTTCCTCGGACCAGCCAGCTCTTTTTACTGAGTATCTAAGCTTCATCGTATCAATTTACTGTAATCAGCCCTGCGATATCATCGAACTCCTGAGCCTGGACTCTTCGGCCTTTTTATGTAAGACTGAGTCAGGTTACAATTAATCCCCGGCGGCGTGGAGTGTCTGCGTACATAGAGGCTTCGCTAATTCTGCGCCTCAATTCCCTAGAAGTTGCAGAATTTTGAAAATAGACAGAAAAAATTTGGTCCAATTGCATGTCCAGCGAAGTGTGTGATTCTCTAGAGGCAGCTTACTACCGACGATGAGTTGGGTACGCATACACATCACGTCTTGATATCCCATCGTGCTTCGGATAGTGGCAATCCAGGACACTACCAGAGTCATGATTTACATAGAAAAGACAGATATATGCTGGTTTAAAAAGCACGTGTTAACTGTATACTTCACGCGTCACAGAAATATAATGATACAGTGGACAACGTCAGCAATTCAGACATTTCCTCGATCTTTGCTGCCCCCAATATCGCAGGCCAAACGACCCAGGTGGTTTCAAGTTTGTGCGCGCGTTGTCTAACTCGGTCTTTCTTCTTTTCAGCTCAACGATCGGGTCTGGGTCCGACGTCGTAAGAGATTCTATCGAGGAGTTAAGCTCCTGCTCGGATGGATTCAGTTGAATATCGATAGATGGGTGATTACAGAGTAGAAAGAACTGCGGCATATACACTTGCCTAAACAGAGACATTATTCCGTGATGATGTCTAAATAATAATCCAGTGCCGATACCGTACAAGGAAAGAGCGAATAAGTTCGCGGTCAAGGCGAATCATGTTCTGGTTCGAGACTCATATCTGGCCCCGCAGTTTGATCGCAACGTGCTGTTTTATACGGAGTAATTAGGGGTGACGATGAAAAGGCCACCATTATGCGTGGCTTTTGGAGAATCGTGATCTTTTCACCTTCGGACACCACGACGGCTAAATTAGGCTTAGCGTGATTTTCATTTTAGCGTGTACATATATCCCTAATCGGGACTAGCCCCTGCAAATCACTCCACTTTATAAAGCTTGGCGCTCTCGTGGAATTGGTATATAGTTATTCCTTGCTCTTTCCTTTCCCTTCCGCGTCCTCCCAAGTTGAACTCGTTGGCTGAAACGTCCCATACCTTCAAGCTAACCTGTTCTACCTTCGTCCACATATCGCTAGAGGTACCTGCTCACAAGAATCATCATGACACTTCCTTCCAGACCGAGTAACTTCGATGCCCGATTCCTCCGCCGCCTGGTAGGGACTAAGGTCACTACCTTTTATGACTCCGACCCCTTCTGAGGTGTGTGGTGAACTAGAGGTGTTTAGGCTATTGATGAGTCAAGGCTGTAGCTCTGTTCCACGTTTCCTTGGTTACTGCGAAAAAGCGCAAGGGGAACATGATCTCGTTCCTGGTGGCTATATCAAATACCTCGTATGGAGAAAGGTGCCTGGGGAGCCTCTTACAGAGGAATATTTCTGGAGCTTGGATCCCCTTGTACGAGAGGATATCCGTGCCAAATTTCGTGTTGCCTTTGAGTCAGCTTACGCAAACCCAAGATGGCAGACAGACAAAACGCTAATACAATTAACAGAGAGATGCTGCGTTGCGGTGTAAAACCACAGGAGTCTAGAATCTCGAAGATCATCTATGATCAGTCCACTGGCAATGTGTACGTCAACGATTCTACATATATTGGGAATAATTACTAATGAGTTCAGTCGCATTTCGGGGTTTCGAAGGGGATGGCGAATCCGTGATAAACTTCAATGGTCAGACACCCGTTATGTCGCGTATATACTGGCTAAGCGACCCGACGAGAGGGACTGGCGTTCTCGCCCGGAGGAATGGGAGTTATGAAAGGTTAGCAATGTTACATTTAGTATTAGATTGAGTTTAAATTGCTTCCGTCAAAAGAGTTATGCAAGTCGGTTTCATTTATTTTTGGGTGTTGTGGTTCTAACCTAGAAAGGTTCTACTGGATCTTTTGAAGTCAAGTATAGTTGGCTCAGACCAATTTTGCTTTTTTGCTGAATTTAATCCTGATTGAGACTCCAGCACGAACCGGATGTTAAATTATTTGCCAAGAATGCACAAGACTGGCCAAAGGTGACGATAGGAACAAACAGGGCCGAATCGGGGTAACAGAAGGTCCTTCTCGTGGGACATATTAAACACATTTTCTCTTCCTTTCTCTTCCCTAATGTTGATACCTTTGTTGAATGCACAGGTAGGCTTCGAACTGTCCTCTTGGCTCGTAACACTAAACTAGTGTCAATCTCAGAATCTTAGCTATTGAGAAGTGATCACCAGCTACCTACACCGCAACCACTCATGGAGTCATAAATAAACAGTGAACTTATTGCTATTCAATTCCGTATATCTACGAGCTTGCTAGTGGTCTCGAAATTCCTGAATGATAAATCAAATTAAGATAAAGATAGTTAAGGTTTAACTGCGAAACCAGGCTATCTCTGGCCCGAAGCTTCCGTGATGCTGCCTCACTACTGCACCTAGATGGTGCAAATGACGATGAAACAAACGAGTAAAATAAGATCCTAGTGCTAGCGTGGCTCAGGCGCACGAGTAGGTTTCGATCGTTCTTTTACAATGTTTCTGAGTACTGAAATTGTCATCCCCAGATAGAACATGGCTTTGTATATTTGATAACGTTGAGGACTTGGACCTCTTTTGCAATGCCTGGCCCGCTACGGACTCCGGAAAAGTTCTTGTCACGTCTCGCAATGACATTGTTAGTATAGATCCGGCAGCCGGTGGTATGGAGATTGAAGTATTCGACAACACTAGGAGAAGGGACCTAATTTTGCAGCACGTTGCAAGAAATAACTACGAGGAATCTGAAATCCAAGCAGCTAGTCAACTTGCAACTCGCCTGGGAGGTCTTGCACTGGCCCTGGTCATCATGTCTTCGCAAATTCGCCTCCGGAGGATGACCATAACAGCATTTGTACAGCTTACGAAAAACACTCGAATAAGCTGAACAAGTCCGGGGAGTTGAATCGTACTACAAACTGTCTCTCGCAACTTACTGGCAGACTACATTCGATTATTTGACCCCAACCGCCAACCGTATGCTCGGCATCATTGCTCATCTCGGTCCGGATGCGCTACCAGAAGAATTATTTCACCCAGCTGATAGCTCAAGCCTTCCAAAGGGCATGGAATTTGGTTCTGATGACTGGGAGTATGAATGTCAAATCTTAATGGCTCTGGAGCGAATTGATACTGACCCAGATACAGAATTTTGGAAGCTCTCAATGAGCTCTTAAGCTCATCTATAATCCGCAAACATCCCGTTGAGGACCTACTCTTCGTTCATAGACTGATACAAGAAGAGTTCAGAAATGTTCTAGACGCGGATGGGCGGCATGACTGCTTCGTTGCGGCTTCGATCTTGCTCAATGAGGCTTTCCCCAAATTAGTTTTGGGTCAGTCAATGCGACCATACTGGACAGAATGCAAAAAGTACATACAGCACGTATTGATGCTCTGCACCAGATGGCAGAACTACAAGTTCCTGCCGAAAAGCAAAGGAGATTTTGATCCATTTTTATCGCTTTCTACTTCATGTGGTTGGTAAGAAAATGAATCACACATCATCTACCCTGCTAACAATTCCAAGGTACCTCATGGAGTCTGGCGCGTGCCTAGAAGAGATCCAACTCATGGAAGTAGCGATGAGTCTCTGCGAAGACAAAGAAGGAGAAACATACGCTCTTCTTGTGAATTGAAGGGGAGAAATGGAGTGCCAAAGAGCACATTGCGACGAGGCTTACAAGTATATGACGCCGAGCTTAGCAATTATGCGACAAATCCACGGTGACAGCCACCCAGAAGTCAGAAATGGGTTCAATAACTACGTGAATATCATTCTGCAAGAGCTGAAAGAGGGAGCGTGTGAAAAGGCCATCGAATACTACCAAAAGGCGCTCGACATCTTCACGTTGAACGGCCCTGAGATCTATACGAAGATCTTCCATATACCGCACATAAATTTGGCGGGATCTTATCAAGTTTTACAGCAGTACGACAAATCAATTGAACACGCAGAACAGAGTCGCAAATGGGCAGTCGCATTTCTGGGAGAGGGTTGTCATTTTGATGGAGTGTAGGAATGTAGGACACTACCTTCTATGTGAGGATGAAATTACGTTCTGCTGATACAGACCTTTTTTAGGGCCGACTTTCACGTTGGAAATTCACTATTCTCGCAAGAGAGAGATGACGAAGCGGAGCGGCATTGGTTGGGAGCCTTGGAGATATTCAATCGTGAGAATGAAACACATCCAAAGACAACTTCAACGCGGACGAAATAAGCCATGATCAAAATGAAACACGGAGAATTTGACGAGGCAATGTGAGCTCCCATTACTCCTTGGTTACACTCGGTCCCTCTTGTTGGCGCAATTTGCTAAGCAGTTCTGACCATGATTTTTCTAAGCTTGATGCTTCAAAAGATTCTTGTCATAACGAAATTGAAACAGCCATCCAAGGGCGACAATGGAGAAGTTGCCCGTGTTCAACGAAAGCTAGCTGAGGCTTTTGGGCTGAAAGGTGATTTGACGGAAGCAACAAGGCTGAAAGTTGAAGCTGAAGCAATGCGAAGAGAGATCCAAGGACAGCAATTCCATGAATTACCTGATAATGATCTGAGCTACGCCATGATGAATTTTCACGCATTCTGGTAGATCATTGTGAGTAATATACTCACATACAGAATCAGCCCTCTACACCCGTGCAGACTAAATGTGTATATAGTTGATTTTACTAGTATAGCAATTTTTCTGCACATTAAAACCTAGCCTCTTTCTTCTTAGCCGTAATAAAGTCAGAATTTCAGTACACCATACTACTCTTCACTCATAGAAGGCGACAGACGGAGCTATCCTTCACCTGCTCCCCGTATAGCCTACTGATTACCCTTATACCAGAGCATCAAGACGTCGCAATGCGTGATATTGGGTCCGATAAGACAATCCAGCCAATAGGCAATAGCGTTGTAACCATCAACAATTACCAAGTGTCTGTCCATCTCTGGGAGAGACAGCCAGCCACCAAGTTGGTACCACTGCGCTCTCGATAGTATCGCAATTGCACGCTGCTTACCCTTGGGCCTACGCTGCATGGAAAGATGTACCAAGTACCTAACTATATTGTACTGAAGATGCTGCTTCTCCCTTGGTGGTGTGAAAGGGAATGATTGAAGGAACAACGAATGGAACTGGAATGAGGACAGAATCGGTGGACGCATCGCACAGTCCATTCCTCAGAAAGCCTGAAAAAGTCACTGCCGCGATTCGGGGAGCTGCTGGGGAGGTTGTTTGAACCTTGAGTTTATAATGTGTCGAGAGTCTATGTTTATAAGTGAATGGCATTAGATATTAGCATTTAAAAGATTCTATTTAAGTAATCAAGTTGGTCTATAATCAAATTCTAACCATAATTGAAGTATAACTAAACGAATGCCTGGAACTATCTAACAATCTACATATTCATATTTATAGAAATGTCTTGGATCAAAAGCATGCATCTTACATCTAAAAATAGTTGAATATTCGATGTTCTTCCCACCAATGGCCCAAAATCTGCACGAAATATGGCTTCCCCTTCCGGTCAGCAATTCGGTGGCAAGTGAGTGGTTACATTTATATAGAACGGTAGTGTTGGATGTGCTTACCAATTTACTATTTATCATTATGGGTATTATATATTCTTTGCTTAATATTAAAGGGAAAGTAGAGAGTATCAAAATCGCGGTATCCCCAGGTGACCTTGACCGCTACGTATCCCTTCCTAAACTTGACTCTCTCTCTCTCACTCACTCTCTCTCACTCACTCTCTCTCACTCACTCACTCTCTCTCACTCACTCACTCTCTCTCACTCACTCACTCTCTCTCACTCACTCACTCTCTCTCACTCACTCACTCTCTCTCACTCACTCACTCTCTCTCACTCACTCACTCTCTCTCACTCACTCACTCTCTCTCTCTTCAACACCAAAAGATGTGTCCATCCAATAACCCAATCTCGGCCTATGGCTTCACCGCTGTTGTATCGTCGGCTGCTGCTCTTCTGGCGACAGATCCCCCAGCAACACCTGCACCAGCCATTACAGTGTCCGAAGTCCCAGCTCCGGCGACGCCCCTCGCCCAACGGATCAACGAGTATGCAAAGTACCATTTTCCTGAGCCAACATACAATCACTCCCTTCGCGTTTATCACTTTGGGCTTGCAATCAAGCGATACAGGTTCCCTGAATGGGCCTTTACCGATGAAACCTACTTCCTTGCCTGCCTACTTCACGATATTGGAACAACCCAAAGTAACCTAGAAGCCACTCGAATGAGTTTTGAGTTCTTCGGCGGGTTGAAAGCGCTAGAAGTTCTGCAGAACCTAAAACCTTCCTTTGTAGGAGGCTCGGTCGCAGTCGCCCCGAAAGAGCAAGCAGAGAGCGTAGCAGAAGCAGTCATCAGGCATCAAGACTTGTGCAAAAAAGGTAAAATCACTGCTCTTGGTCAACTGCTTCAGCTGGCAACAATCTTTGGTATGTTCACCCTCTATCAGAGAGATTGGTCTTGCGTCATGGCACAGGGTTCCTTGAACCGCGACCAAATGCCATATTGTTCATTTGTCTCAACAAAGGATATCTCTAACTTGGTGTGAACAGACAACACTGGCTCCTATGCCAATCTCATTCATCCCTCCACTATCCAAGATGTTTCCAACCATTTCCCTCGTCTGGAGTGGAGTTCGTGCTTCGCTAGTACCATCCATGAAGAGAATCGGCTTAAGCCTTGGGCACACACAACGACACTTGGAGAGGAAGAATTCCCTAACAAGGTGCTGGGAAATACTCTGATGGCACCCTATGAATGATGGCATCTCTAGGATTCCGACTGGTTGTGTATGTGCGAGTAATGGCTGACAAGCTCCTAGAGCTCCTAGACTCCGAAAATAAACATCCAAAACCAAGAGGAACTGAAAACCACAATGAAATGAGCATTTTAATTCAATATAATCCCGAAAGCAACAAAAGTAGCAAGACTGTCCAGTTAGTGCAGAGATGGGTAAACTAGATATCTCCCGCAAACCTCAACAAAACCACCTTTGGATCCTCCACAGAAGCCAAATATGCTTCAAGCTATCCTCACCACCTTCTTTCTCCTCATACCATTTTATTGCATATACAAACCCCCGATTCCACTCATTCGTTACTGTCAACGTCGCTGGCCCGACGTGCTTTTCCGCGTGGATACAGACAAAAAGGTGGTTGCATTGACAATTGACGACGCGCCCTCTATACACACACCTGCAATTCTTCGTCTATTGCAATCGCACAATGCAGCTGCGACTTTCTTCGTGATAGGATCACAAATCCCAGGACACCAATCTGTCCTAGCTGATCTCGTACGAGCTGGCAACGAACTTGCCAACCATGCCATGTATGATGAGCCATCGCGCGCACTCAGCGACGACGTCTTGGCAGAGCAGATGCGAGCAGTCCATGCCAAAATCCAGGAAGTGTATGCTGCAACTGGAAATACATCACAACCTGAGAATTGGCTCTTTCGTCCTGGCTCGGGATTTTTCAGCACCCGGATGAGAACCCTCGTAAAGGAGCTGGGATATCGGCTGGTGCTCGGCGATGTGTATCCGCATGACCCGCAGGTGCCATTTTGGAAATTGAACGCAAGTCACATCTTGAGTATGGTCAAGCCAGGGAGTATTATCGTCTGTCATGATCGCAGAGAGTGGACGGTGCCTATGTTACAGAAGGTGTTGCCAGAGTTGAATCGCAGAGGGTACCGCGTTGTCACGGTCTCCGGATTATTGAACGAGATCGGTTCAAACTAATGGCCGAATGAATGTTACGGGCTCTGAATGTACATCTCTTTCTTCTCGAAGCGCTATGGGTATATTTGGACACTATTCTCAACACGGCTAACCCATCATCTGCAATTGATCCTCCGGAGGCCAGCGGACTTGCGCAAAGCTCAAGCAGCGCTTGATACTCTGTAGATACTTGCGAGTGATCTCGTCACTCAGGATATGTGCCTGCTGGTCACTTTGATGCAGCTTCTCTCGTGCAGATCGCTCGTGAATACCAACCATGGTGACACCAATGGGCCATGCTCTATAGACATGTTAGCGTCAATTCCAAATTTACTCAAAGTAGTGGGCTCAACATACGCTTTACCGATGCTCACTCGTAGGTATGCATCGTTTGCATCGACGTATCGCCGCTGTTGCGCCTTATGCACAATCTCCACGATCGGTTCCAACAACCCATCCTCCAGCTCGGCCTTCTCGAAGAGTCGGAACAACGGTGTCATGTTTTCGCGTGATTGGATCATCGCGTTATATGCTTGTTTTCCCTGGAAACTTTCACGGACGGAGATGTCACGCTTTGCTAGTGCCAGTTCCCATTCCGACAAAACCATGTTGAAGTAAGATCCCAACTGCCGGAAAAGGAACAGACGGCTCTCTTGATCTTTCGGGATCTTGGCTGGGATGATCATCTGTCCACCAGGCACGGGCTCCAAGGTGGTGGGGATAGGTCCGTCGGTCACCTTCTTCTTGGGAATAGCAGCCCGTTGAACCAGACGACGGTACCGTCGAAGACGGGCTCGATAGTCCTCTCCGAACAATTGTATCGGCGCATTCATCTCTCGCAGTTTTGCAATAAGCTCCTCCTCTTCAATATCTTCCTCCGTGTCACCGTCGACTGTGGGGTTCTCAGGCAACTCAGGGAGACCGAGCCTTCGCCGCCGTTCACGTTCTTTAGCTCTTTCTTCTTCTTCTCTCCTCCTTTTAGATTCCTCGGCTAGTCTTCGCTTCTTCTCCTCGCGTTCTCGGTTTCGATCCGCCTCTTCGTCTTCTAGCTTGCGCTTATTCGCTATGCGCTCTTCACGTTCGCGTGCAATCCGCTCTTGTTCTTTGTTGTAAGCTTCAATACGGGCAGTTTCGACATCGCCTCGTCGCAGATATTTCTTTGTTGGCGCTGCGGGGGAGGGTTTTCCGGAATCTTTCGATGGCTTGGAAGCATCGCTACCCTTGGCCTTGGAGATCTCCTTGGACATCAACGCGGCGAAATCCATGGTGGCGGGATGATGCAGCGAGCTGCTTGAATAATGCGACTGTAGCTCAAGTTAAAAGAAACAATAAACAATGTAGATTTGCGTCAAAGGGGGGAAATGGGGTTGTGGAAGCAGAAGGAAAAGAATGTTCTTACACGTCGAGAACCCGCAGCTTTTCGACGCCGCATTTGGGGTTCTCTTCCAGTCAACTCCCCTCACCCCAAAATACCCAGAGCATTTACCTTCATAAGCCTTCATCCAAGCTTTAATTTACATCCAAATCACCGCATCTTCCATTCTCTTCTGCTTTTCCCCCGTCCTCAGAACTGCAACCTCTTGATTTTCACCCTACCATCCATCATGGCTGCTCCGTCGCGAGAGGGCCCCAAACCCTCGATCAACCGCCAAACCACTGCACCTTTTCATTTGAAGCTCTTCTACCGAGTCAATAACTACAACCCTCTTTCCGATTACAGCATTCCCGTGCCACCTCGCCGTGGAGGACCGGTCAGCGGACCAAATGCAATTCGTCCAACATCGCCCGTCGCATCTGCGGCGCCACTCCCACCACATCTGGAGATCTACACATGGCAATCATGCACACTTCGCGAGCTCTCACAGCTTCTCACTTCTGCTCTTCCATCATTACTCCCTGATCCGCCCGTTGGCACCCGTCTCTGCTTCCGATTGATTTACCCCGACGCGCGCGGCGCGGCAATGGGCGGCCCCGATGCGCGTGGCCGATACTTGAGCAGGGATTTAGGCAGTGCTATTGTTGGCCCGAGAGATAGTCCATTGCGCGCGGACGACGACGAAGATAAGCAGGAAGAACGACCTCGCCCTGGCCCGCTTCGTTTCCAGGGTTCCGAAGCCGACAGGCCCCTGCAGGATGCCCGGTTCATCGTTGGAGATTACATTGAATGCGCAATTCTCCCACCGCTTGAGGATGGATCCGTTGCGCCTCCGCTCAATGGCGCGTCAGGCCCGATCCTGGGACCCAGAGGTGGAGGTGGAGGCGGTATGCGCGCGTTCCGGGATAATGGCTATACGCGTGGGCCTGGTCGTAATGGTCCTCGTGGAGGTGGTGGCGGTGGTGGACCTCCCCATATGCCCCGAGGTGATTGGCATCGTGGTGAGCGATTGCCTGAAGGTGGACGCGGAGGCCGTCGTGGATGGGCGCCATATTGAAGAGCACGAAGATAACTCCAGTTCGAAAGCAAGTATGTCAAAAGGGCGATGAATACCCACGATGAGTCATTGTATGATTATCTAGTTTAGGACCAATGGAATCAGTACTGTCAAAAATTTACAAAGCACAGTGTGCCTCAGCATTCGAGTGCCGGCGCTCTACCACTGCTGAAGACGCGACTATACAGCGATTTTAACTATATGTGCGCCAGGAAACCTACCTTAGTGAACTTTTGAAGGCTTGAGCCTCTTCGCTCTCCGTGGATGGCTAAGAGTGACGGGTCTTCGTACTATAGTTATTTTGATACATAACTACTCATTCTTTTGCGACTCTATCCGGCATCTGTATATTCTGCTAGATGGAAGCATACCAAGTTCCAATGGTTGAGTAGTAGGTAGTAATTACTAGTAATTACTAGTAAATGCTTACCACATCTTACCCTGACCTAGCGACCTAGCGAGTAAACACCTTTAACAAGTCGTCTACACTAACAAGCAGCCACTAAAACAGACGCTACCCGTCGTTTGGGTTAGATACTCCGGAGCTGTATGTGTAGCCTTGAAAGGAAACACCGAGTTTCATGACGAACAAAGTCAACAAAATAAAGAAATCCATGCGGTATATGCTTGTAATAAAGTACACGGCCCGCGCAACGGGCACCGGCACCAAAAGGAAAGAGTCATCGGGCAAAACCCCCTTAGCACACGAGTATCTCCAACCTCTCCGTGTGTAGTTCTCCATGTCGCGTGTCACAGTCGCTGCTCGGTACGGGTTTGATAACAAAAACGGGAATTGAATTATGGAATTCATCGCTAAATGTCTACCACTCAGAGATCGTATCTCCACGGCGCTTGCCACGGAACTCGAACTTGCCCTGCATATTGTTAGCGCGTGTTTCTCCGTGGGATTGGACAATCGCAATCCCATGATGGTTCATTCCATACCTCGTACTTGTAGGCAACGTAACCCAGGATTCCGGGAATCAGGCCCATGTAGACGAACGAGAGCATGGCATGACGCGGGGTCCAGCGCCAGTACTTGTAACGGTTGGCATTGAGTTCTGTGGGTCCGTTAGTCAATCTCTAATCGTAGATATATCGTGTCGCAAGGTGCTGAGTTTGAGAGAGCTGCTTTAACTAGCTGGTATGTAGACTTGTGCCAGCGCAATGTGTGAGGTTCACCCGAAATCCGGGATGAGAGAGGTTGGGGGGCATGTACCATAGTATTTCTGGAAGGCCGGATCAAGGATCAGGGCTGGACAATAGGTTAGCAATTCAGGTCACTGCACTCATGGGACTCTCAATGCTCACACTTGCTAGGACCAGCCATTGTTGCGGGAAGCGTTGAAGCGTGGACACAGAATGGACAACGCTTGCAAGCGTTCGGGATTGAAGTTGAAGGTCACATGATGATGAATCAGCTGAATGACGTAATCAGCTTTCGTCGAGCGCTCACAATTTTATACCAAAATAAACTACGTACACTCTGCACAGAGAAAGATATGCATATCATTATATTCCTATCGCTCTTCATTCTAATCCTTGGCGAATATACTCATTATCGATGTCTGTGGTTGTGGAGGTGTGCAAGCATATCCGAGATCATCCGCCAACCAAATGTCCTCCATATCTCAGCACCGATGCAACGGAGGTATGAAATAAGACCTGAGGCATTAATAGTTTACAAAAATCCCATCACTCCCCTTGTCCTGACCTCTTAAATTACATGGAGGCTGAAAACTTTCCCTCAATCTCCTCAACCTTCTTCGTAGCACGCTGGTACCCCTCGTTTCTCTCGAGGCGGTTAGCATACGCGACAAGAAGAGGATATTTATCCTTGTTCTTCTCCTCCTTCAGGGATCGCATGGTAACAGCAATGACTGGGAAACTCAGCATGATATCGGCAGCTGTCAGCTCCTTGCCACAAATGAACTCGCCACCGTCGGGGGCTGTGCGGAGCTGTTCCTCAATGAAGGCGAGGTTACTCTCAACGTTGCGGGTCAGGAACTGATTCTCCACTTGCGTGGCAACCATGTTGGTGATCGGCCGAACAAAGAATGGAGGGGCGTTCCGAATGGCTATCGAGAATGTCAACATTGTTTAGATGATCCCTAATGGAAAGGTAACTTACAGTCGTTGACCAGAGTCATCACCAGGAAAGGCATCAGACTACCCTCCACATAGTGCATGAAGTAGCGATAGCGCATCCATTCCTCGGTCTCTCCGCCCACTTTGCCTTCGCTGCCGGGGGTATACCGTTGTGGTACTAGCGTCGGTCGCGCGCTACTAAAGTGGTCACAGAGATATTCCACGATCGCACCAGACTCTGCCAGTACTAGCGGTTTTGCGGCGCCCGGTGCCTGGATGGTGATCAGAGGCGACTTGCCCAGTGGGTGGATCTCCTTCAGCTCAGCTGGGGCAAGCTTGTCGGCGCGGCGCTTAAAGGTCTTAAGCTCATATTTCAACTGCAGTTCTTCCAGAAGCCAAAGGATCCGGTGACTGCGAGATTGCTCGAGCCTAAAATGTGAGTTAGTATGAATGTACAGCAACCGTGGGGGGGGGGGGGGGGAGCATACCAATAGAGAGTAATCTTGCAACCTTGATTGTTGTCCATCATGTTATAATATAATTTGATACGAAATAGCAAAGTCGATGGGATGGGACACTTATAAGTACCCGCACGTGGATGATGTCAATCTTGGAGTTGACCCGAGGCCGAGGCTTCTTTCTTCACCAGAAGAGGGAAAAGGGCCGAGATCTACAAACTTCATGGTATATTCAGTCTTATATGTCCATACAATACCTGAAGACATGTACTTCCTACATATTTTTGGATACTATCCCATATTGCCAAATTGGGACTAGACCGGCATTCCATCTTCCAGTATTTTACCGTGTCTTCACAGCAGTTAAAGGAGCATGTAGACGTGTATTCCATATAACAGGCCAAGGCTATTCTCCGTCAACTTCCACTACCATGGGAACATCTAGTGACTGTAGGGTGCAAGCTCCTTAGAGAAACGCAAGGCCGATTCCAACCCAAGATATATAAAATAAACTACCCTCTTTGGTGTATAGTTCAAAGTAGAAGAGCCCTAGAGGGATCCCACATGAAGATTGGTCTTCATTTCGATACGCACTTTTCCTCAAATTCAAATTCGTTCGCACCAGAAGGTCAAGCTCGTGCACGCGGTGCATCGTGAACTGCGACTGGCCACTAAGCAACGCTCCTCAGCGGGCAGTCAGGGCACGTGCATAGATCAGCATATAGATACCCCGTGTATATGTAAAGAGATGACATTTGGTGACATTGGCTTCAAAACACCTTTACATTCCTCGAGTACCTAGATATTGAATTCATGTCTCACAATGAACGAATCCACGCCTCTCCTCTCTTCGGAGGGCGTGAAGGGCAAGAATTTCTACCTCGACTTCCCCAGTACCCTACGCGGCAAGAAGATCCTCTTCGCTACAGAATCATGGGGTCCCGTGAACGGAGTTAGTCGCACGACGCGCAGTCTGGTCGAGTATCTACTTGACAACGGCATGGAACTCATTCTCGTCGCGCCCAACTTCCAAGGTCAATCATCCAAGCAGGCCTGGGAGCGCCGTCTACCCGGATGTGCGCTACCTTATAACCCAGATCTCACAGTGGTCTATCCGTTCCATCTGGATGATCTCTTCAGCCAGTGCTTCCAGCCAGACATCATCTACCTCGCCAGCCCAGCCTCCCTTGGGTTCCAAATGCTGTTGCAAATCCGCCAACTGCGGTCTCCTCCGCCGGTGTTGCTTAACTTTCAGACGGACTTGTCCGCCTATGCAGAAATCATGTTGCCTGCACCGTTGGACACATTCGGTGTGTGGCTCCTGGCGTCAGTTCAGAGGTTTCTGTTCAGCACCCGCGCCGTACACACCATCTTTTATCCGTGCTCTGCGATCCGCGAATACTTGGAACATGCGCGTGTACCGGTCAATCGACTCGCCCAGCTGGGTCGTGGTGTCGACACGCTTCTCTTCTCGCCGACACAGCGCGACGAGTCATATCGCCGTCACGTTGCGCCTCATGGCGAAATCATCTTGATATGCGTTTGCCGCATGGCCCCAGAGAAAGGATTTGAGTTTCTCGCGCAGGTCACGAAACAATTAGCCACAGACAAACTACCCTTCAAGCTGTTGATTGTCGGCGGGAATCGCAATGTGGCCATTGAGAATAAAGTCCAGCGTCTGTTTGACGGTGTTCGAGACCACGTCATCTTCACTGGAGTTCTCACCGGGTCTGCATTATCTCGTGCGTATGCGTCTGCCGATCTGTTCCTTCATTGTTCAATCACGGAAACATTTGGGCTGGTGGTCCTCGAGGCCATGGCCAGTGAAGTACCTGTCATCGCGCGGGATCAGGGCGGGCCCTCTGATATTATCCGTCATGGACAGACTGGTTATCTGGTTCCACCGCGTGATGTAGAGTGTTTTGTTCATTCGGTCAAGGAGATCTCCCTCGACCCAATACGGCGAGCAAAATTGGCGATGGCGGCACGTCAGTACGCGGATGATGCCACCTGGGAGAAGATCAACTGCCAGGCAGCATGGCAAATGGCCGAGGCATTATCATATGCCGACCAGGAATCGCAGGGTTCTAAGCAAGTTACCCGACCTGGGATGATTGGATGGGTCTTCGAGAAGCTCCGTCTGCTGCTTGCTGTGGGGATTGTTTGTTTCATGTGGTTGATCTCTGTGGTCCCACTGATCGTGCATGGAAATCGGTTCCTTCCCCGGGCCGGGCAAGCTGTTCAGGGTCAATTCCAGGACACCCGTCCATTGCGCGGTTGAAATGTAGCTTGCCATATTAATACCAGCCTATGCTCAAACATCTACCTGCGTACTTAATATTGGATAATATATTGGTAGAGGGTGTTTGATTGGTAGATTGGCCAAAACATCAACGCATGGACGCTTAATATTCAAATATACTCCCCAGGCCTTAGAGTCTCACCGGCTCTGTGTCAAGGCGAGCCAATAAATGTCCCTCGGTGACCAAGGAGTTCTTGCAAGAGAGGCCCGAGACAAAATTAGACAGATTGCCGAGTGTGACCTCGGCGATCTCCTCGAGGGCCTCGCGCGTGAAGAACCCCTGGTGACCACAGATCAGGACATTGTGGAAGGTCATCAGGCGCATTAAAACGTCGTCCTCGATGATCTCCCCAGAGTGGTCGTTGTAGAAAAGCTCGCCTTCCGCTTCGTAGACATCCAATGCCAACCCGCCCAGCTGTTTTGTCTTCAACGCCTGAATAGCCGCCGTCGTATCGATGAGTGCACCGCGTGAGGTATTTACCAACAAGGAACCCGGTCGAATACGCGCCAAGGTCTGTTCATTGATGAGATGCTTCGTGCTCGCTGTCAGGGGGCAATGCAGAGTCACGATATGGCTCTCCTTGAGCAGGGTGTCGAGGTCCACTAGCGTCCCGTACTGGCGGAACTCTTCATCGGGAAAGGGGTCGTGCGCGAGGAGTCGGCACCCGAAGCCTTGGAAGATGCGCGCGGCGGCCAGCCCGATGCGTCCCACGCCGACGATCCCCACGGTTTTGCCATGTAGGGTATTTCCGAGCAGACCTTCGATGTTGAAGTTACCCTCGCGCACGCGATTGTATGCGCGGTGAGTCTTGCGGTTCAAGGTTTGGATCAGGGCGACGGCAAATTCGGCTACGGCTTCCGGGGAGTATGCGGGGACATTCGCCACGAAGAGGCCTAGCTCTTCGGCAGTTGCGAGGTGGACATGGTTGAATCCCGCGCAGCGGAGTAGGATGGCGCGGATCCCGTAGGCGTGGAGAGCTCTCAGCACGGGTTCGTCCAGGGTGTCGTTGACAAAGACACAGACTGCGTCGGACCCTTGGGCTAAGGGGACGGTCTCCTCAGACAGGGCGAAGGCATGGTACTCGATGGTGCATAGTTGCGGAAAGTGCTGATCTCGCACCTGATCCAGGTAGGTGCGGTCGTAGGATTTGGCGCTAAAGACGGCCAACTTCATGATGTATATGTTGTGATTTGGGAAGGGGGGGGGGAGAAAGAGGTTGCATATTGAATAAAGTCATGACGACTTGGGTGTTGCATGACACCTGCAAGCAGCCATTCTGGTATATTTCCCCAGATCTCCGGCTGTAACCTATACGACACTACCTATTTAGGTAATCGTGAATAACCAGTACGGAGTACAAACCGAAACAGTCTTTCTTCACCTCCGTCAGTACTTCATAACATAATATACACGGGAGACTTTCTTCTGGATGATTACTCTTTTGAGAAATATCATATAATTATTTCTATTCCCCTCAAGTTGATTGGATACCACAGTCTCAGACTTCCGCGGGGCTCCGGCCTTGGACGAGGTCTGGACCAATAGAATAATCGAGATCTCAATCGACCAATCAAGACTCGATGATAAGAAGGCACGCCTCGAAGTGCCTGATTGGTCATTAGCTTCACTAGCGTAAAGCTAAGGATTTCTCATTTTATGATTTATATTTTCCATGTCTTGGATAAATGAACAGTGCTCGATTTGACATATACCTGTAGTATAGTCTATGGTCTCTCGGAAGAAGTCCTCAATAAATTATATCTTTAAATATAACATAGTATTCCTACTCCAGATCAGACGTAAGTGAGCCCGCAGAAACCCGTCACTTCAAACCGGTCTAAATCCTAGGAAATGGCGGTCAAAAGAAAGTGTTTTTATAGTCCAGATTTATGATTTCATATAGAAGAAGTGATTGAAAAAGTACTATACATACTAGTAGCGCCTACACGAGTACAGAGTAAAAGACGGGCTACTTCGCGCTACTTGGCCCCCGCGGAAACGTAGTACCCGCCACCAAGTATCCCAAAGTAGAAGGCAGACACGTACTGAATACATACCAAGGTAACATCAAGTAGTATGCTTCATTTCCTTCACCTCCTTTTTATCTTGTTCATCTCTTCTACTCTTCTACTCTTCTACTCTTCTACTCTTCTTCCCTTCTTCTCTTCTTCTTCTTCTCTTCTTCTCTTCTTCTCTTCTTCTCTCACTGTTCACCCGTTCTCTAAACAATCCCCACTCCACTGACTCCATAAGAGTACAAAGTCCCCACTAGCCTCGGCCACTCACAGTTCACCCTTTTTTCTTGCCTCTTCCCCGGCCCTGTGTACTTATTGAACTCCTTTTGCCCCTCGGTATTTGGATACTTTTTTTTTTTACTGAGCTTCCCTTTAAAAAACTCTCTCAACCTCTTTCAATTCCATAATCCTCATTTCACCTTTGCATCATGGCCACTCACGTTTTGACCAACCCGCCTACCAACCAAATTTCGGTTTATGGTCAACCTTCCCCAACCAACTCCGCCACAAACACTCCCTCCAATAACTCCCCCACCTCTCCTCGCATGGCTACCGCGTCCCTACACCAACTGCCGCTGCAGTCACGCCAGTTGCGTCCTCTCAAGGGTCCTCTCTACGTCCCTGCAGCTCTCCGACCCACCGAACGACCCCAGAAATCCTCTCCCATTACCCCACCCCGCAGCGTGCATGGTTCACTCGACAGCCTCAATGACGACTCCGAACCCATCAGCCGTCGCTCCACCATGGAGAGCCAGTCGAGCGAAATCAGTCAGGGCGCACAGCATGAGTGGATGAAGAATGAACACCTGGGTGTGGTGACCGGTCTTCCGACCCGTACACACTGGAAAGTGAGTATCTCTCGAGTGGGAAAGAAAGGAAAAAAAAGTTCCTTCTTTTTCTTCCTTCCACACCTTTATAGGGCTTGGATTCGGTTGAGATTGCGCAGTTGTGAAAGCAAATGTCGTGTGAGCTCGTCATTTCTCGGGAATGGCGTGCTACAGTCCACCTCAGCCCTGTCACATCCAAGCCACATCTCCATTGATCGCATTTAATCGTCTTAACATGACAACCCTTTGCTAACTTGATTTCTCTCAGGCTGACTCGGCCTCTTCCAACTGCGATTCTCCTACTTGCCGCTCCTCATTCGGCATCTTCCTGCGTCGCCACCACTGCCGTCATTGTGGCCACGTCTTCTGCGCCTCCCACACACCTCACCTCGTGCCTCTTGACCAGGATGCTCGCTTCCACCCCGATGGTGTTCCCTCCCGTGCCTGCGATCTGTGCTGGAGCGCCCACCAGCGCTGGGAAGAGAGCCGCTCCGATCGGTTGAACAAGATCCAGAACATCATCGATGCTCAGCAGATTGGCGTCTCTGTTCCCGATTCAGAGGGCACGGATGCCGACCAGGCTTCCGAGTCCACCGTAGGCCAGACCGGCGAGGTCGCTGCCTCCGTTCCTCGTGACTGGAACTGGAGCACTTTCTAAACACATTGCCCTGTTTCCCTATGGTTAATGTGGCAGGACTGCTGCAGTTTGGCGTTTCATTCTTTTCATCATTTTTTTTACCGAGCCATGCTCACCTGTGACTTGTTTTGTTTTTTTCTTGCTCTTTTATTGGCGACCATGGCTTTGGCGTTTTCGACAGGCCCTGGGCCCTGGACTCTGTCTCTTTGTTTTCTGCAGCCATATTATGGCTTTGCATCGTGTCTGGAGGATTCTCTTTCTGCTCTTTTTCTCTTTTCTATTTTGCTTCTCGTTGATCAGGATACCCCGTCGGTTTTTATTGCGCGGCCATCTCATTTGATGTTTCTTTTTTTACTGGTCCCTGATCCATGCTCGAGGGAATGTGCAGTTTTGCACCGCCCCAGTTGATATCTAGTTCGATTTACTCGATCTAGTTGAATCCATTGATATTGAACCTAGAGCGTTTTCTCCACTCGTAGACTATGCTTGACCCGTATTATATCTTGTATCCATGTAGATCCTTATTTATCCAGAACCACCCGCCGAAACATACCCACATGCTCAATCCCTTCCTCGTGCCACCGACCCAGCGAATGATCAGTTTCAAATCCAAGCCCAGCATACATGCCCTCCACATCCACCTGAGCATGCACAAGGACCAACCCTCGCCATGGAATTGGAGTAACAGGTGACTGCCCCCTCGCAGCGATCTGCGCCGCGCCCTCGTCTATATCTGCCGCATGCACCGCCGCCCACTCCAGCGCTGTCTCCACCAATTGTCGCCCAAGTCCGAGCCCGCGGAACGACGGCATGATCGCCACCCGCGTCAGCTTGATACAGGGCTCATGCGCCCAGTCGTATTCGGGGGCTCCCTGCGCTGCTGATGGTTCCGTCAGATGGGCGTGAGGCGCCTGTGGCGGGGGTACCAGGCGGATCACCCCCGCAGGCGTGGAGGTCGCGGTGGAGTTGTCGTATAGTACCCAGTGCCAGCTGCGGGCATCGTCGCTGTCGATCTCGGATTCGGCGGTGCAGTGCTGCTCGTCGATGAAGACGGATTTTCGGATTATCATTGCATCGTTGAAGATAGTGGGGTTGGTGTTGGTGCTAGTGTCGGATGGGAGTACTAGATTTGCGCTGGGTCCTGGCGGTGGCTGGATTGAAGTGATGAACGTTGATTTTGGTGCCATTCTAGTTGGTAAGGGGATATTGAATTCCAGGGGTCTTCAATGGTAATGATGGTGAAGAGTTCTGGAGTTGGTAATGATGGTGAAGAGTTCTGGAGTGGAACGAACTAAAGGTCATACTATAGGGCGGATCCAGATATTTAGATCCCGTCGGGATCAGGCACAGAACATTGAACCCTACTCATCTTTAATTTTGAATATAATTGAAGACATAGAGACTATATTCTTATCGTAGCGAATCTATCCCGTCCAAGAGGTAATATATTAAGTCATGAGCGTGCCATAGTCCCATATTTCCAGTCTGTGTATAATCCAATGCAAACAGAACAAACAACGTCAAAATAATCAATTCGATCGCGAAAATCTTCAATTTCTCCGACCAACATTCCATTCTCCCAATGTCCCTCTATTTTGATGCGGTCGCTATATTGACCGCACCCTCCTCGGGCGGCTCGTTCAAGTCCCGGATCTACAGTGCTCGGAACCTGCGCGCATCTCCAGCACAGCTCTATGCGCTGATCACCGAGGCTGCTAAATGGGATACCGTGCTAGCAGATGTCATTGACAAATCCGGCATTCTCGCCTTGGAGCGCAAGGTGAGAAGACTCCAGAGAAAGCACTGGAGATACCTACTGACTGACCAAGTGATTTCCATTTAGCTCTCTCCACTCCTCGCTCTTCTCCTCGTTCATGATCATCTACTCGCGAAGAAAGGCATTGCCGCGCCGGCAACCCACACACTTCGCCAGACTGTGGAGCGTCATAAGGCCAGGCTAAAGGCCGAGTTCACCAAGGCCCGTGTTCGTCGTGGGTGCGCCTCCGTCGAGCAATTCAAGGCTGTTGTCATGCGCGAGAAACGACTGGCTGATGGAACTAGCCATTTCGTTTACCCGCGTTGGGTGCGGATTAATAACATCCGCACTACCCTTGAAGACCAGCTGAACACTACGTTCAAGTCTTACCGTCGGGTAGACAGCCTTGCCGAATTGGCACCTGAAGATGAGTTGGAAAGCCGAAAGCCAGAGCCGAGATTGTTCATTGATCCTAACATTCCGGATTTGGTGGCGGTGCCTTTCGGCGCAGACTTTACTGCCTCATCAGCCTACAAAAATGGGGAAATTATTCTCCAGGATAAAGCGTCCTGCTTCCCCGCATATCTCTTGTTGGGTGACCGTGGGCCTAACGATGCATGGGAGGGCGATCTGGTCGATGGTTGTGCTGCCCCAGGGAATAAGACTACGCACCTGGCTTCGCTTCTGGCTAAGCAACAAAAGGGCAGCAAGAACAGAAACCAGAGAATCTTTTCTATGGATGCATCTACCGTGCGGTCCAGAACACTGCAGAAAATGGTTGGTCTGGCCGGTGCTGACTCGGTCACTGTGCTCCAAGGTCAGGATTTCCTCGCCCTTGACCCGGAAGATGAACAGTTTGAGAAGGTTACTGGGTTGTTGTTGGATCCTAGTTGTTCTGGTAGCGGAATCATCGGCCGTGATGATGTCCCTCAATTCACACTCCCTGCCGCGGCAGCATACAAGGCGCCCAAGTCACATGGAAAGAAAAGGAAGCGTCCCGACGACGATGAAGCAGGTGGCGAGCAGTCGAAAGCCACCATGGGAACTCCGCAGGCAGAGCCCACAGATGAAAATGATATCCCGGACGGGACGACCGACTCGGAGCGGCTGACCAAACTATCAAGCATCCAAGCACGGATCGTGGAACACGCTCTGTGTTTCCCGAATGCTACCCATGTGACGTACAGTACTTGTTCTATTCACCTGATTGAGAATGAGGGCGTCGTGGCTCGCATTCTAAATTCTCAGGCCGCCAAGGAGCGCGGCTGGCGCCTCCTGCGGCGCGATGAGCAGCCCGATGGCTTGCGTCGATGGAAGAAACGAGGTGTGCGCGAGGAGCGGCCAGCCGAGGGAGAGACAGGGCCATCGGGCACGGTAGATCTCTCCGACGAGGCACTAGAAGCGTGTATCCGGTCCTGGCAAGGTGACGCAGAAGGTCTGGGAGGATTTTTCGTTGCTGGATTCATTCGTGACCCTAGTCTTGCTATCATCGCCGCTCCGGCGACGGAACGGGAAAATGATGACCACGGTGAGCACAGCGAGAGCGATGAGAGCGACGAAGATGAAAGAGATAAAGAAGATGCAGACGATGAAGAATGGGGAGGATTCTCCGATTAGATAAAATTATATCAACGCAAGTTTGCCCAGCCTGCAACAATTCCCGAAGGCATCTGTTTGATATCCTAAATTCAACTCGTCTGGCGTATTATGCAGTTTAAGGCTCGAACAAACGTACATGACAACTAAAGGAATTTTCGTGACCGGTTTCGGACCTGCGCACTGGTATATACGTCCAATTTGACAGCAACCAGGACCACCTCGTATGCCCCGGTAGGCCCTTTGTGCACTTGCAATCGCCATTGTCCTGTCCGAACAACCCAGGGCCCATCATCCGTATCGACTCGTGGACGTTTAGCTAGAGGTCCACCATCATCGCTAGTTTCAGTCTTGGCTCTGGGCATCATCAAATGCTGAGGGTCGTGTTCTCCATCCACCGTGAGATCAGTTTCACGGTCGATTCGAACCTTGATTGGAACTTGGCCCAATGGTGGATGTGAATCAGGCAGGTTCATCTTTTTGCCAACTGTCTGCAACAGACTGGCGATCCTTTGCTCCGAAAGGCTGAGAAAGTCAACACGCATGCTCCCCCGATGAATCAGACTAGACTCGGCGCCGATCTCAACCACCAGATCGGCGGCGTTCTCGTCTACAAAGGGGCGCTTGTATGTGACAATTCCACCGGCTGCAGGCGAACCGGCAACTGTATCAAAGGCAAACTGAATTCCAGACGGTCGCACATCCTCGAGCCGGATGGCGATTTCCAAACGATGGCTGAAGGGATTCGTCGTTATCTGATGGGGGATCAACTTTTGTTCCAAACCGCGCAGGTGGAAATAACGACAGTCGCGCAGTAGCGAAGTCCGATGATCCTCGTTTCTAATATGCAGTGGATACCCGCGTAGCATATGTAGGAGCTCATCAAAGACATCCGCAGATCGGTTCGGAACACTTGGCGGGACAATGGCCGGAGGTCGTAAGAGACCCTGGCGGTCTAGGCCCGGAAACACTTCAGTTGGAGAAGCAAAGAAGGCGGCGAATCCGAGGGTGAAGAAATTCGGAGCGTCACCGGGAGCTGAAAAGATATCGCGAGGGATTTGGAAGTGACGGTCGCCGATTTGAATAAAACATTCGGACTCGAACAGCTGGGACATCAATCGGGGCACTATTGGGTCAGCAATTACTCGGATAAGACCAGAGGATGCTCACATGTATAAAATTGTGCGTCTGCAAATAGCTTCACGAATTGCGCGCCATCCTGGGGCCGGACATGGTAGCCTAGATGCGCGCCTATCAGGCTCCGTCACGTTGTGCTTGTCCATGGACTCTCATACCCTGTAGATGTCTAGCGATCTCGCGGAATGTCGTGGGGTCGCGATCAATATAGAGGGTCCTGATGTTGGCAGCATCGTGATTCTGAAGCAATTGATCCTCGAAGAAGCGTGAGAAGTAGGATGGAGCTGTTGGAAGTCAGTTCAAGTTGGGAGGTAGCAAGGTAACAAGCCTGATTACTGACCATCAGAGGCAATTGAAGCACCCGAGAGACGAAAGATCTCGGAACCAATTTGAATAGAGAAGACTTTCTCTGAAGGCAGATTACATTTGCCAGAGCGAGTGGACGTGCGTATATCCATTGTGTGATGAGAAAGGAGGTAGGCGGAGAAATGACATTTTGCCTGGCATAACACTACTCCGTGCAACTACAACCACAACTACAACTACTTCAGTATTTACAGACCTGGAAGTCTTGAAGCCTTGAACTTAGCCTTTATGTTTTCCCTCAAGTATAAAATTTTCACATGGCTCTGGAACTCGGCAATCTCCCCCGCAAATGAGTCCGTGAGCCCCTGATTTCGGAGAAAGAAGGAATTTTTAGTGGAGGGAAACTTGGGAGCTTCGGCCTCGAGATTGTCAGGCAATGGAGATTTATACGATCTTAATTGGTCGACAGGGGATTCAAAGACTCCACCGGTACAAGAATCCAGAGCCATGCTCATCAACTCTCCACTCAACCGAGGCTTCTCCCCCGGATTTTGGGTTCGTGCTTTTGAGGGCTCAAGGGGCTGACAGCGCATGACAGTCGCATGATAGTCCCCCCCCCCCCATTGAAGATGAACTTGAACTAATGCATATGTGTACCCCGTCGTCATAGTGGGACATTGAGCTAGTGTTATAATCCCTGACCCCCGTGCCCAGGACTTCTCTCCTTGCTCCACAATTTCATTTCTGATTCTTATTCTCACCGTTCTACCATTGGAGCTTGATATACACATCTGTTTGTTCTGGTTCTTGCAAACATGACAACCCATGCTGTGTCCACATACACCCCAAGAGATGTTCCTCTTCCCCCAGCGCCGTCAGCCACTTACTTCTCGGAGTTACAGTGGAAGACCCTCTATGCGCTGGCTGACGCAGTTGTGCCTTCCATCCACTCTGCGGCAACCGCCAAGTCATCGAATGACCGGGTGATTTCAGATGCAGAATGGAATTCTGCCGTGTCGAGCTTGTCAACGATCATTTCTGGACCTGACGCCGTAAACATTGCCACCCAGTATCTGCAAGAAAATGTTTCCTCGAACCCGCAATTCCGGGCCATAGTGGAAAGACTTCTGGGCAACCATGTGCATGATGAGGGAAGAAATGGGTTTGGGTTGATCATGACAGCGCTCAACACTCGTGCTGGTTCACTGATTATGACGGGCTCAATCACTCCGATCCAGGACCAACCGGTGGAATTCCGGGAAAAGGTCTTACGTGGATGGGACAACTCTCGACTGCCCCCTCTCCGCGCCATCTACCGAGGACTCACCGCCATGGTTAAGAAATGTTGGGCCACCACCAGTCCAACCATAGGCCCAGTTCTGGGATTCCCACGCATCCCTGTCCATGGCCAGCCCGCCGATGGTTTCCAGTATGAGTTTTTGCAATTTCCTCCTGGGGATCAGCCAGAAACGATTGAAACCGACGTCGTTATCGTGGGAAGTGGCTGCGGCGGTAGTGTGGCTGCAAAGAACCTAGCCGAAGCAGGCCATCGAGTGCTAGTTGTGGAAAAGTCCTATTCCTATCCATCCGACACTTTCCCCATGGGTCCCAATGAGGGATTTACCAACATGTTTGAGAACGGTGGTGCGATCTCCACCGATGATGGCTCGATGGCAGTCCTAGCGGGCTCAACCTGGGGCGGTGGTGGTACCGTTAACTGGTCTGCATCTTTACAGACCCAGGGGTATGTCCGACAGCAATGGGCGGATACCGGTCTACCTTTCTTCACCTCCCTTGACTTCCAGAAAAGTTTGGATCGTGTCTGTGATCGCATGGGTGTTAACGAGGAGCACGTTGAGCATAACCGCCAGAATAGAGTAATTCTTGAAGGCGCACGGAAACTGGGCTATGCTGCCAAAACCGTGCCCCAAAACACGGGTCACGGCAAGCACTACTGTGGGTATTGCACGTTGGGATGCGCCTCAGGTGGGAAGAAAGGTCCCACGGAGTCATTCCTTGTGGACGCTGCCCAGGCCGGCGCGAGATTCATGGAAGGGTTCTGCGCCGAAAAAGTGCTATTCACCAATGTCAAAGGCAGAAAGGTTGCTTCTGGTGTGCAAGGAATTTGGAAGTCGCGTGATTCATACTTGGGGCTCGGCGGTGTTGGGACCGTGGAGCGTAAGGTGATAATTAAGGCCAAGAAAGTAGTTGTGTCAGCAGGCACATTGCAAAGTCCTCTTCTACTACTCCGCAGTGGCTTGAAGAACCCTCAAATTGGCCGAAACCTTTATCTTCACCCAGGTAAGAGCTCTTTCCGCCTCCCTCGACAGTGCACATAAATAGGCACTTACTATTTGTTATACAGTTATGGCAGCTGGTGCTGTCTTTGATGAGGAGACCCGCCCCTGGGAAGGCTCTGCACTCACGACGGTTGTCAATGAGTTTGAGAACCTTGATGGAGATGGACATGGTGTAAAGATTGAGTCTCTCTCAATGCTTCCCTCTTTGTTTATTCCCATGTTCCCCTGGCGAGACTCATTGGAGTACAAGCTGTGGGCGGCTAAGCTGCGTCGCAGCACTGGCTTCATCACCTTAACCAAAGAACGTGATTCTGGTCGTGTTTACCCGGATCCCGTTGATGGACGCTGCCGGGTTGACTACACGGTCTCTGCCTTTGACCGAAAGCATATTGTGGAGGCCACGATTGCCAGCGCCAAGATTGCGTATATCACAGGCGCCAAAGAGTTCCATACCGTTTACCGCGACCTTCCACCGTTCATCCGGCCAGATGCTTCAGACCCCGAGGCCCCTGACGGCACCAACGATGCGGCCCTGCAGAGTTGGATTGCCGAGCTTCGTCAGAAGTCCCCTTTGAACCCAGAGCGTGGTTTGTTTGCCAGCGCACACCAGATGGGCACCTGTCGCATGAGCAAATCACCCAAATCAGGTGTGGTGGACCCGGATTGTCAAGTCTGGGACACTGTCGGTTTATATGTCGTGGATGCGTCCGTGTTCCCTAGCGCTAGCGGTGTGAACCCGATGGTCACCAACATGGCGATCGCCGATTGGGCCAGCCGAAACCTCGCGCGGGCGATGGGGATGGTACGCGGTGAGGGCAACGTGATGGCTCGTCTGTGATGGGATGGCTGTGGGAGATCTCTTGTCTCACTGTCCATGTGCTGTTCCACTCGGACACGCCTGAAAGCCAAGTTGTTTATATGTTATGATATCCCTAGCACGATTCTGTAGGCTCTTTCGTTTTATATGATTCAGGTGCTTTGCGAAGCCGAATTTAATGTCTTAATTCTTCGGGTGCTAATGCTGTCTTTATTTTATCATGTTGAGCATCAAGCCTTGGGACCCTGGCGCTTCTCAACGTAGTTCTTCTCACCAAAGGCCTCCTTGACGCCCTCGGCCGCGATGAGCCGCTCGTACCAGGCAATCACCGAGGGGTACTTCTGGCGCATCTCAGCATCGATGGCCATGGAGAAACCCCAGACCAGGGCAGAGGCAACTGTGATATCAGCCAAGCTGAGCTTCTCGTTGCCCACGAACCAGATGCGGCCCTTCAAGTGAGTCTCCAGACAATCCAGCGAGCGTTCCAGACGCGCGATGTTGGTCTCCTCGACTTTCTCGTCGTAGGGCCGAATACCGAGACGCCAGAGCGCCAAATGCGTCACAGGGTCCAAAATCTCACCCTGAGCATAGCAGATCCACTGGCGGATAGTGGCGCGCTCGGCGGGGGTAGCTCCAATGAGCTGATCGGCGGCTGGACCGCTCTCGGCAATGTATTGGGTGATGGCGTCTGACTCGAACAGGGTTGTTCCATCGGCAGCCTCAAAGGCGGGAACCTTACCCAAAGGGAACTTGGATAGGAAATCCGGAGTACGGTTGGTCTTGCCCATGACATATTCCGGAACCGTAATCTCCAGGCCATTCAGGTTGGCCGCAGCCAGGGCCTATGGAGGTTAGCGGGTTGCAGAGATATTTGGAAGGGATTTTACCTTCATGACCCGAGGACTGGGCTGATAGGAGTAAATAGTGCCGAATGGTGCCATTGTGGATATTAATGAGGTGAGATAACGGTGTTGGTACTTTGTAGATGTAGGGGTTTTATGTGAAGGGAAGGTGTGGGGTAGAATCATGTGGAACTGGATTTCTAAGCAGATTTGTACATCGCTTCAATTGTGTTTGGATTTTTGTTATAAAGAGAAATTTATATATTATTATAGTGTGTGTTGTTTTCAATACTCTCAAATGCTCTCAATATAACGCGCTTCTCACATATTTTTTTAATTCTCCGAAACAAGCGGAAACAATCCGAAGCCTGAGTTCTTGGCTAGTCATGCGAAGAGGGCTTTATTATAAACCTAGATCTTTTCTTATCTTTTCGCGTCTCAATATGTCAAAGTTATTGTCCAAAAAACAGAAACAAAAGAAGCAAAAAACTTCATGGTATACTAGTCTAATATTATACAAAATCAAAATTCAATCTCGACACATCCATCCCAGACCTACTAGGTCGCGCCTAGTATGCCTCACCGAGGCGCATATAGTTCCAGCAAACTGCAATTAGGGTTAGATTTTTAGTCCACAAGTTCGGGATATAGACTCACTTGTGTGTCCCATATCTTTGCCAAACAGGCTCTTCATCAGGTCTTCACCCTCACGTGTGCCCTCGCCTGGGGTATAACTGACAGCCGTTTTGCCCAGGGCCAGTCCCATCACAGACGGGAACGGCTCCAGGGTCTGATAGTCTGGCTTTCCACCGGTACACTCTGCCATCATGTGCTGATGAATGTTCATCGCGGCATAATGGCCCATATGCATTGCACCACCACAGCGCTTGATACCTTCCCACGCGGTTAGGTCTCCTACTGCCCAATGATACTCTGGGTTAGGGATGGCACCGGAGAATTGTAGTCTGCAGAGATATTAGAAACGTTCTGTGAACAATCTGGTGCAGGGAGCAGCCTTACGAGCGGTCCACTTTGATGTATCCTTCCGCATTTAATGCCTCTTTCGGTAGATATGTCGATGTTGGAATGCTTTGAGAGACGGCATTGAGAACGTGACCAGTTTTGAGCTGTTGACCATCGCTGAGCGTGAGTTTCCAGATCCGTGTCCCATCTTTTGTGTCTACGGCGGTTGTATCGATAACGCGTTGCCCTAGGATGACCTCGACGCCTGTCTCACGCAATATAGAACCTACTCGCTCAGCAAACTCATCCGGCAATGGCTCTGAGGATAGTAGGCGCTTTCGAGAGTGGATCAGGGTGATCTTCTGTTCTGGGTAAAGAATCTTCAATTCGGCAGCCATCTCCACGCCCACAGCGCCTATCCATGAAAAAGGGAGGTTAGTGGGGATGAAACTAGTAGAGTTACTGATAGAAATTACCTCCACCGACAATAATGATACCATCACGGGCATGCCTCACATCGGCCATATGCTCCTTGGCTTCCTCGAGGAACTCATCTCGCCGCAAGGATTGGGGAACAGTGGGAAAAGACCGACGCAGCCCCGAGCCTGCAATCAAGTAGTCATAGGGCTCGGTGCGGCTGTTCTTGGTCTTTGCATCAACAATACAGGCGGATTTGGTCTTAAAATCAACCGTACTAACACTTCCCTGGATAAATCTGAGACCTGGATACTTGAGCCCGGGAATATCTTGGAAGCGAGTCCATGCCTCGGACGCGAACTTTTCGCAAGCTAGGGCCTTTGGGGATCCGATCAAATGATCTAGACATGTGAGCTAAGGCGTGATAGGGGAATTGTTGATCTTGTTAATCTTCTGGGAGCGTACAATACCCATCTCGCTTATCAACCACAGTTATCTGTATTGGAATGCGATGTGTAGGAGCCTTGGCATCAGGATTGCAGTTGAAACGGGCAAGGCGACCCTGTGAGAGATCAATGAGAGCCAATGCAGCAGCTAGGCCGCCATAAGAGCCACCGATCACAAGTACTCGGAAGTTGCGAGATACAGTTCGGACAAAGTCGTTGGAGGGCATGATGAGTTGAGAAGGAGAGGTGTGACACCAGCAATAACTGGAGAAAGACAAAAGGAAAGTGGAAAGGAGAATAAGAAAAGAAAGAAACCGAGACAAAAGCCAATAGACTGAGCTATGTATTCGAAAAAAATGAAAATATAGCGTCATCTCATCGGATTATGCGGGTCCGGATCTTATCAGATTGAAAGCGACATCGGATATAGTGCATCCATGGTTGTTCTCTTGGCTTCTTGGCTCGGATTATCAGATCCGATGACAACCGCGAAACGTGAAACATCCCTCGGTTATATTGGCTTGACCTCCGATTACTCCGTGACGGTCTTTCTGGGACAGTACACACCTCAGTGCCAAGTCGTATTTCGGTAGAACAGACACGGTGGCTGATACACACGCAAAAGCGGGTTGTCTGTGCATGCCTCAAGTCTCTTTTTGTCAGTTTATTACGGCACATAATCTGAAAATAGAATTTTGGAAGAGGAGAACCCTGGCGAAGGGACATGCACAACATTGAATATTTCATGGACTCCGAGTCCTTCACCCGACCGTAATCCTAGTACAGTGTAATACACACTTGATTCCACGGTTCAATACAAGTTACTAACCCTGAAATGGAAAGGATCATCTATCAGACAAGATGAGCATCTAATCTGATTATAGGAAAATGTCCCTCATGACAAAAAAAGGAAATGGCGCATTTCGCTGGAAAATCCACTTTGCGTTATTACTTGACGATACAAGTGTCGGGTTGAGCGAATTACAATAGAATCTGATAAGATACGCCCCTCAATTTAATTAATTTGTTTCAAATCCCGATTTTCTGGTTTATTGGGTGCCACATTGAAGTTTACTTCGTCAATGGGATTGGGGTATTATTGTGAACTCTAGCTCGATACTAAAACACAAGAACTGTACAATCTGCGCTCTTTAATTTTTTTTTTTTCTTCTTCCAATTCATGCGTTCTGGCGCTCAGTCAGCACCGTCATTGCCATTTGCCGTAGCTCCACTTTGCGAACTTTGCCGCTTCCCGTTACAGGAACCGTGCCTGAAGCCCCCTCTTCTCCAAATACAAACACATGCTGCGGAGCTTTGTGTCGACCCAAAGTCTCACGTGTCCATGTGCGCAATTCATCGTCAGTCGGACGACCGGCGCCCGACGCGATCGCGATGAATGCTCCAACGACCTCGCCGTATTTGGGGTCGGGAATACCAATCACGGATGCTAACTCAATTGAGGGATGTGCGGTCAATCGTTCTTCGATCTCGAGAGGATATATGTTCTCACCACCTATCAGATGCCACAATTAGAAATTGCGATGGATGTCAATCTAGGGGATTCAAACTTACCACGAATGATGATGTCTTTGAAACGACCAGTGATGGTGCAGTACCCTTCTGCATTAAAAGAAGCTTCGTCGCCTGTCTTGAGCCATTTGACACCCTCGGCATCGGTGGTGAATGTCTCTGCCGTCTTCTCCGGGTTATGCCAGTATCCCTTGGTGAGCTGATAACCGGCCATGCAAAGTTCACCACGCTGACCAACGGGAACGATGTTTCCCTGTGCATCGATAATCTTCGCCCGAGCATGGGGCATGACCTTTCCGACGGTGGTCAATCTAGTGTTGATGCTATCGGTGGTGAAAGCATTGAAGCAAGTGGGCGAGGCCTCCGTGAGACCTAGAGCTTGGATTAGCATTTATCGGAATGTCAATGGGAGGGACGGTACCGTAGCTACTGGTGTATTCAGTCATATTCAATTCTGCGAAAAGCCGCTTCATGAGTGGCCGCGGGACTGGAGCCCCAGCAATGATGCCTGTGCGGAGGTTCGAGGTGTCAAAGTTGGGGGGCTTGGGAACGGCAAGGATCGCCTCAAACATAGTTGGAACACCGTGTAGAGCAGTGCATTTCTCGTCGGAGATGGCATGCAGAACCGCCTTTGGGTCGAAGGTTTCGCTAGGGAAAACAATCTTGGAGCCATGGGTGACCACCGCGAGCATGCCCAGAACCAGCCCAAAGCAGTGGAACAAGGGCGGCGGGCAGCACAAAACATCAAAAGAGGTGAGGTTCATGCGATCACCGATAAACCGCGAGTTATTAACCAAGTTGCTGCGGAGGAATTAGCTTTAGGGACGAATTGTCGTACATATATAATCTACGTACTGGTGTGTCAACATGGCAGCTTTAGGGCTGCCTGTTGAACCGCTAGTGAATTGTAGATTGCAGACATCATCCGGTCGTAACTCGGCCTCGCGGTCCTGAAGCACATGTGCAGCCTGCGACAGACCGCGTTCCATGACATCATGATAGGTGGTGAAGTTGTTGTATCTCTCGCGGAGAATGACGATTTCCTCCAGTGATTCTGAAGTCGCGGCCTTTTTAGGATTAGGGCCGAGTTCGATGAGGACCTCCTCGAGATTATGACGTCCAATGCGTGGTGTCATGAAAAGCATTCGGCATTCTGAATGAAAAAAAGCCGAGATTAGTATGGAGTCGGTAATACGGGAAGTGGATATGTATCACCTACCACTGTGATTTAGAGCGTAATACAGCTCGGAGGGGGTGTACGTATTGTTCAAGACGACCAATATAGCCCCAACTCGTGCGGCCGCAAAGAACACCGAGATGTATTGCTCACAATTGCCCGCCATAATTCCAATGCGATCGCCTTTTTGAATACCCGAAGCCAACATTCCCCGAGCTAAACGATCGGTCTCATCTTTCAGCTGGCCGTATGTCCATCGCGCACCGGTCCAGGGGAAGACCAAACACTCAATTCTTCCATACTGTAGTGCTTGAAGTGTCAACAGTTCACCCAAGGTAATGTCCAGCAGCTGTGGCTCCGTCGGGCCTGCGACAAGAGACAGCTGTGGACTAATAGGAGGCTGTACATGCGATAGTGTCTGCTGCAAGCGCTGTACACTTCTTGGGGCCGCCATGGTTAGAAAGTTGAAGAAAATCAAGAAAAAACCTCGGGCAGGGGTTTATAGATGTACCCGACAATACAAATTTCGCACATAAAATCCAATTTTTTTAATTCCATCAGATAGGCCGGGCTCCACATCGGAAGTTTGGTATTTGGTAATATTTCACGAGTTTTGGCTTCTATGCTTGGCTGGATGGTATACAGCTCCACTTCATCAAGCGAACCTTGGCATACACTCCGAGATTTATTTTGGTTTTGTTTTTTAGTCGTTGAAGGCTGTGAGAATCTATTCTATGACAACTATGGGGGTGGACTGATACCGGAAATTGCGAATATCCGGGAATAATATTAGATATCTGAATCTCTTAGACATCTACGGAGTATGATATGTAGAATTTTCTTCTCATTTCCACGGGATCGTCTGGTAAATTTCCCCTAGTATAGTCCAGGATTGGTTGTCAGAGCGCAATCTGCCCGGCATTGGCAAAAAAAAAAAAGAAAGAAAGAAATCACGTCGTGACACCAGACCCACTCAGGATCAGATAACTTGTCTGCAGAATTTCATGCCGGGGGGTTTATCAATCAGTTGGGATAATGCATGTAGGTACATACAGTACATTAGCCCGGGACATCCGAGTTGGTGTGAATAATTGGGGCAGGCGGATCTCGTCATTCCGAAACTACTTTGTCGCTTTTCAAAGGTGAGCAGGGGGAAATCGTCTTAGAGCTCGAGAAGACCAGTATATAATAGATATAATTTAATGTCCATCGTTAAGCTTCACGAAAGTAAAGTAGCCCATCTACCATGCGACTGTGCAACCTTGGAAATCTAATCAATCGGGCTGATCTAATCAATCATTCCCGATATCGGCTTTGTGCCGGACCTGGACCCAGGACCCACCTAAAAATACCAAATACCATTTAAAAACATTCATTGTTACGGCAACTGGAAGAAAAATGGCCATATACATAATCCAATCCAGGGCTAATTGTTACATAGCTACATATATATGATAACTTCATTCTCTCGTTGGGCTATGTCCAGCTGTTGAAAGTGGACTCTTCTATCATTGCTTGTCAACCAAACAAAGATGTCCCATACGATCAGATTAACAGATAACCGGTTGCAAAATGCCCATATGTGGCATACTCATCCAAGCACGGACCACAAGACATGGATACATGTTAGGTAAACGGCACATCCATAACTACATGGGATTATACATGCCAAACCTTCTGCCGTTGGGTACAGAAAGATATGCACACCCTTTCCAGTCACAGGTGTTCTACTCCTAGTAAGTATGGACGATTAAAATGTTAAGGAGCCAAACCGTGAACCTCTGTTCCCCACCAGTTGAAATGTTTGCTGGCTCTGGGGAAATAAATTGTGAAGATTAATGCGCCAGCAATTCACACAGATGAGTCCATAGCAAAGCTTAACACAAAATTATACTTACTCCGCCAGCCCGGCGGACGCTTTCGAATAAGCCAGCCAAAAGTAAGTCTGACAACTGCCTAACTGCCATAGTTCATTCCAGTCGCAGGGGGGAGGTAATTTAGCCCCCAGATGAATAGGGGAACATAAGTTCTTCTCCATAACAACTTGGGGTATTGGCGGGCCATACAATAGACAGGAATCGGTAAAATGGCACCGATCGTGAAGAAATACTGCCAAGAGGAGTAGCCAATGTGCATGAGGAAGAAACTAACAGAGGAAAAGGATCAACCAAAGAATAGGCAAAATCAGATAACAGAAAGAACGTGTAATTCGGATGTAACATTGGACTGAATCCCTGAAAATAAACATGTCCATTGTAGTTCTCGGCGCTATAAGGCTGACGGCAGACAGACACCATTCTGTGTTTAGGTCCGAATCATCGAATTATGGCGGACTTCATTACTGATTTTTGTCTCTTTCGTGTCTAGAAGTTCCAAGTTCCATATTTTGTTTTATTTATTTTTAATGTACATTTAGGTTAATATTAGTGACACATAGAATCTATATCCTAGGCAAGTTTCCACATTGAGGTTTGCCATGGAATTCCGAAAAGAAGCTTTATAGGGACCCATATCTTATACGTATGACCAGGTTGAGAATCCCACAGGCACAAGAAGGTTGGATCTAGCTGCGGCTTTTCCCGAGGCGGCACAGGGGAATCACGATGGATCTGGTCAACGGATGTTCAAATAGAGACAGGCATCGTCACTCGTTCCTATGGCATATTCTCCCGTGAGTATGTATCTATGGCCTTATGGACTAGCATAATTCAATGACAGGGATGCAAATCTACATCCTACCGGTATGTAGAACATAATGGGCCGACTCCACGGCCTGCGTTGCTCCACTCACAGGCCCAATAAATCCTCTTCTACTACTGAGACACGCACTTTGATGCCCCAGCCATTTCGCCCACCAATCCAATTCTTCCGCTTTCCGACCTTCTGGATTTTCTGCACGTCATGTTCGAGCTCTTCCTTCAGGTGAGACGGGTCATATGCAACTTTCTGAATGGCAATTGTCAAGTCCAGGCCGTCTTTGTTGCCCTTCTTCCCTAATCCATTCTTCCATTGTGCCGAGGGAATAATTCGAGGCTTGGAGGTGTCGATAGACCCGGTTGGGTACAGCCAGCTTAGGACAAGACCGAGTTTTCCAAGATACCGTGTCCACCAGACCTCCTCTGGGGTCAAGATCCCCTGGAGGTGGGTCTTGAAATCCATGTCTCGGGGTGGTAATTCTCCACCGTAACGCTCCTGGAGCATTAGTGCCAGGAGAGCACGGTGGGCATGTGGAATCCCATGCGTGGAGGCTAGGATCCCAGTGCTAGTGCTATATAGTGCGGCACTAGAGGAGAGTTCTTTGGACATTGTGGCGTGGTAATATAGGGAATTAGCAAAAGCCTGGACAAGGTGAAGACTGATGGAAGATGGGAACGATCGGCTGGCAGATGGGCGAGGGAGGGCGGCCAACAATAAAGCAGCCAGGGCCTGGGCCGACGAGGGCGCATAACGGGCTGTGGCAACCTCCAGGGGATCCTGTTGGCGGACAATCGGGAGCATCTCACGGAACAGCACTCCTTCCCGTACTCCACCTTGGCAGAAATGGGCCTCTTTGATTCCATGGGGTAATGACTCCGCCAGTGTCTTGACTAAGAACGCAACCGAGGGCACCTGCCTGCGTCGCCGGTCGGAGACCCGAAAGATTTCGTGTGCCGTTCGAGCCACCTCTTTGAGAGTTTCAGTATCCTCGAAGTCTTTCTTGGGTGCAGAATACCCATTGATAATCGAAATGGGGTAACCTTGACTCTTTGTCTGGTGCAGATATAACAGAAGATAGCCCCATCCCCGAAATCCTCCACCGGAGAGGTAAAGGGGAAAGCCTCCTTGCTTTCTAGCCTTCTGAACAAGATGTTCAGGGACATTCAGGGTATTAAAAGCGGCGCGAAAGTTGTCGGCCATCTCCCCGCGGAATTGTTCCCGTGCTTTGTGCGCTTCCTCCTTACTTCTGCCCCGTTTGAGATCTGCCAGCTTCTGGGTCAATGCAGCTGCTCCGTAGGGAAAGCTGACTGATCCTTGGGAACTCATATGCACGTTGCCCGCATGCGATGTGATCCAAGTCATCTGCATGCTCCCACCTCCCAAATCAAGTGCAAGTCCCTCCACGTCTGAAAAGCTGCTGGCAATTCCCCATGCTCCAATGACCCCCTCCTCCTCCTTTCGTAATGCTTTCACCGAGATTCCAGTTTTGTGGCGGATGGCGTCGATGAACGCAGAAGCATTGATAGCAGTTCGAGTTGCTTCCGTGGCGATGATCCGAATGTTCTGATCAGGAACTCCAATCTCCATGCAAACAATCTGGAAACGAACTATGGCACTGACGATTCGGTCTATGACATGCTGTGGAATTGGGATTCGCTTGCCTGAGTCGGGGTCCACTTGGGCCTCGTAGAGTGAGATGTTGACCCGATGAAAATGTACAGTAGGGATGACACGGGTGCTTGGGGGCGAGAGGTCTGAGATCGAACAACGGATGCCATTACTGCAATATACATCAGTGCACAGTCCCCAGGGTACATCAAAGGGCAGGCGGATTTGGTCTGCCTACCTGCCTAAATCAACTACCGCATGAAGGTATACATTCTGGCCCGGATCAGATGAGACCTTTCGGATATTCATTGTTGGGGTTCGGTCTCCTCCTCCCATTATGGTGACCAGTTGAAGTTGATCGGGTGTACGTACATGGAATCTCCCGCAGGTAAACTCTGGAAAAAATAATGTGACATCATTATTCTCGACCGCCTGTTATTCTGCCATACAAGGTGCGATAGCTTCCAAGTACATTGTTTGTTCAAAAATGTTGAAGTTAATTCAGTAACCTTTTGAAACATGAACAATTTCAATCTCTTAGCCCATTCAAGCCATTGTGGTCGGACGTATTGAGTACATCGAAGATTAAAGGTCTTCTTGGCAGCGGGCAAGGCATTAATTTATGCCTTAGGGTGTCAAGGCATCGAGTTGACATCGGTTGTCTCATTCAACTTTTCTCAACCCTTTTTTAAATGAATTCCAGATATACCATACTAGTGTATATAAATCAATTATTAGGGGAATCTGACTAAAGCAACCTTTAGTGGAGAAAATTTGGCTGATCTCATAACTGCTGATGAGTGTTCCCACGCCTCTGTCATATATATATTCCCAGCATTGTCGTTGTATTTACAAATTTATACACCAGAAAAGGATAATGCTTATGCACATCTGGAGTAGGTATCTAAAATATGTCACACTAAAATTCGATATCGACCGAGTAAATATACGGCTGTTCACTTGACATTTGGACTGAAATAAGCTAAGCCAATCATGGTGTCACGTGGCTGTTCTGTAATCAATCAGATCAGATAAGACCCCTGTATAGGTGGTCCACGGGTCCGAGAGGATTCCTGACCTCGGGAGTTTCCCACAACTGAACCTGGTTCCTTTGTTCCTTTTTTTTATCCTTTTAATTTCTCCAGGGAAATATTGGGTTAGAATTCAATTATTTTCTTCTTATAACCCCAGCCAGGAGTTTTGGTCCGATGAGATCCAACGCTCGCAAATCACCACAGCTCAGAGACTTCGCCGATCCATATGGGTCCACCTGATCAGTGCGATTATCGGTTTACAGCCGGTGCTCCGCTTTTTCTCTTCAACCGTTTCTGCACCTCACTCCGGACTCACCTGCGATCTAGCGACTCATTATGTTGCTCCGCTTACTGATAATCGCACTCGCCCATGGTGTCTGGGCCAAACCCGAGGATGGGCGGTGTGTAACGGCTGTCTACACGGCATACAACTACATATCGTTTGCTGGCGTTCCCACAAAAGGGAAAGACAAATGGGAATCGCAATGCCGGAATCCGCTCGAAGTCACATCGATATACGCCGCATCGGACATATATTGTAATGAGCGGGAACGGGCGATAGGCTTGACTCAGCTGGCCGACCAGTGCCAAGAATTTGGGAACTTAGAGCTGCTGTCGAGAGAAGCCGTCGCTAAAAATCTCACAGAGGATGCAATAAGGAATATGAAAACGGTCGACTATCAAGAGTTGTCCCGAGGTGAAACAGTGGATGCCCCCATCCTTCTTTCTGCGTCTTACTTTGACCTAATGTTCAATACGATTGTGAGACCCTTTGTGCCTTCTTGAAATATAACAGGCCCAAAGCTTATTGACGTCGTAGGATTCTTGGGAATTTGAAACTTGGTCACATCATGCATTTAGGTAAGTCTGTGCAAGGTGGTATGAAAACATCCGTATATTGACCAATCAGTTATATTGGCTATGCATACTGGGGTGGCATACTGTCACTGGGGATGGTCTATCGCTTGAGTGATTGGTTATTCTACCGCCGGCAACGCCGTGCAGAGCGTGCACTTGAATCCAATATGTATCCTCTCATAAGGTTGTTAGAACATATCCCGCTGGTAGGCACATGTCTTCATTGGGTCCGGACTCATATCATGATTCCAGCGCCTTTGGCAACAACATACGGTCGACACCTGCTAGGCTTCACGTTCTCTACCAGAGTCGAGGCGCTTATAGTCATGGGATTTTGGACGCTCAGCATCGTATTGAGTGTCGTGGGCTATCGGACTTTCCCCGGAAACATTTAGTACGTACAGAACCTGTGAGTGTGAGTCGTGCAAAATGCTGACAGACAGTCAAGCTGGCCTGACATTCCAAGCCAGATTCTGCGTTATTCTGCAGACCGTACTGGGATCATGTCATTTGCGAATTTGCCTCTTTTATGGCTCTTTGGAGGACGAAATAATATCTTCCTGTGGGCCACCGGATGGAGCTTTGCATCGTTCAATATATTCCATCGTCATGTGGCCCGGGTAGCTACTGTACAGGCAACAGTGCACTCTATTCTTTACGTCGTCATGTTTATTCAAAGTAAGTATCGAGCACTTGATTTCAATTACAGGTTGGAAAACTGACAGCTGCAAATCGCAGCCGGAAAAGCTTGGAGAGGTCTGTCGAAGACCTATGTTTTGTGGGGAATTTTAGTAGGCTGCCAACTTGGCTGATCTCTAGTTATTTCATCTCTAATATTCGTGTCACATTAGGGCACATTTGTGATGACGCTGCTGTTGATCACCTCATTGGATCGGATTCGTATTGCGACATATGAGCTCTTCTTGATTGCTCATGTCGTGCTTTCGATCATCGCACTTGTCGGGTGCTTTTAGTAAGTACTTCAGCCTAACCCAACTTCTACATATATTTCTAACAATTGGCAGCCACACGATTGTATTCGAAGGGAATGAATATTGGAAGTACCTGTGGCCCTCGGTGATTTTATGGGTGGTTGATCGCTTCCTTCGAATCGTGCGACTGTGTTACTGTAACCTTCACGTGAGTATTTCAAATGGAAGGATTGTGAAGGTCTCTATGAGCCGCATGATTTACAACGAAGCGACCGACGTGGTGCGGTTAGAGGTCACACCCGGAACGCCTTCCCTTCAACCTTCACCAGGACAGTACTATTACTTATACCAACCCTTTCGGCTTACTGGCTGGGAGAGCCATCCTTTTACCGTTGGAGCTTGGTCTTACGAAATAGGGAACCAGAACTCATTGGCCCCGGCATCCAAGGGAAAGTCGATCAAATTGCACGATGTTTCGCATGTACCGCTCCTTGCAGGTAGTGCCTCCGACCAGGATTACCAAGGCAACTCAGGAAGTGGCTCATCGGGTCAAGCAGAATCGCTGAGGTTGAAACTGACATTCTGGGTCCGCCCGTATGACGGTTGGACCAAACAGTTGCGCCAGCAATGTCTGAGCTCACCAGGCAAGACAAGCGACACAACCATTCTTCTTGAAGGACCCTATGGGGAAGCCTTTCCACTGTGGAGGTACGAATCAGTCTTGATTATCGTCGGTGGGACGGGAATAGCGTCGGCTGTGCCTTATATTCAGGATCATCTCCGCCGATCTGTTGAAGACTGGGACGAAAGCCCCGAAAATGAGAAAACACGAGTCAGAGACATGGAGCTTGTTTGGACCACTAAACAAGCAGCGTTCATCCAAGATGTTTCTCGCCGGGAACTGAAAGGCGCCCTCGAACGAGAGGATTTCCGTGCCTCTTTCTACGCTACGCGTGATTCGACCACATGCTCGGGAAATCCTACCGATTTTGGACTCGATATCCAGTCAGACCGACCTCACCTTCAATCTCTGATTATGAGTCGGGTCTCCGATGCGTGCTCAGCCGGTGGTAGCCTTGCGATTCTCGTATGTGGCCCACCTAGAATGGCGGATGAAGCACGTGCCGCGGCACATCTTGCGATGCGACAAGGCCACCGCTCTATTAAATTTGTGGAGGAGTCTTTTACGTGGTAGGCAAGGGGATATGTGAGGAATTTGTGATGAATATACGACGCCATGCATATACTGCTGAAATTTGAAGATACTTTCAAGGCTAGGACTTGACCTTTTGCTTGTTACGAAATAGATAGGTGCAGAAGATTTTTGCCCGTACAATTGTATGTGCAAGTTTGGACAGGAAGTTTACGGCTCCTCAACTTTCCCGCAATGAATTTCTTCGAATTTGAGAGGAATAAATTGTGATCCGACCTCCTAACATGGGGTGGAGATGTGGTTGTTGGTGGCTGACAGGGGTGCATCATGCACGACGCAGGAGCCTTCCCACGCATGCGACTAACATATCTCAAATCGGGAATCAACGGATTCTGAATCAGCATTTTAGGCGCCCACCAAACACAGAAGCATACGAAACGGGACAGCAAACAGTTCACCCAAAGGGAAGAAGATCTGTGTGACGAGAAGTGATAGATCAGATTCATCAACTGGGGAATCCACTCCCCCGGAGAAACCGAGACATCACACGCATATTCAAAAGCCGAAAAAACAAAAACAAATAGTGTGACTCCAAATGTCGAAGATCAATGTTGGAAACCCCATCTTTTAGGTTGCATTGACCTCCATATGCACCTATACCGCATCTCTTTCCGCCGGCATCTGGGGAACATGCAGGGGCTGATCGGCAGGGGAAAACAGGAAAAACTTGAACACATTCATGCAAGTTCAAGCGTATGGCCGAGCAAGGATCGCTCGAAAGCCGATGATTTATGTTCGCCAAGCCCTATTCTGCTGGGCAAAAGCAATAATTCACGACCGAGTTACTCAAAGACATCCACTCTCCTGCAGGGCTAGGAGCTTAGATGCTGGAATATCCGAAGACCAATCAAAACCAAGGGCTTTTTGCCTCAGAAGCATGAAGAAAAATAAAACATGAGAGTAGACTGAGAATCAGAAAAGTTATAAAAGGCACAATCTTTCCGGCCACCAATTATTTTCTATCCATCATCCAACTCTCTCATCTTCCAAGACTTCCAACCACTATCAATCTTTTTCAATCGCTTTCCGTGTTCTTCAATATCCAACAAAATGAAGTTCTTCGTCCCTGCCTTCCTTTTCGCTGCTACCGCCATGGCCATGCCTGGCTCCGGCGCTGCTGCCGGCGTTACTCCTGAGTCCGAGAATGAGATCAAGAACGCTGTGAACCAGTGTGGCAATGGTGCGAAGATGTCGTGCTGCAACAAGGTCAACCACAACGAGGGTATCAGCCAGAACAACATTGGTGCTCTCGCCAACGTTCTCGGTGCCATTGGCAGCGAGGGTCTCGGCATTGGCCAGGGCTGCACTCAGCTTGACATCCCTGTCAATGGTAAGCAATGTATCCACTCTAGTGATTTAAAGAGCGACACTGACCATATTATAGTCCTTAGCGTCGTTGGCCTGAGCGACTTCCTCAAGAAGAACTGCCAGCAGAACATTGCCTGCTGCCAGAACTCCAACTCCCAGGCTGTATGTGCTCCCCAAACGCGATGGCAAAAGAACAGACTCACTAATATTCGTAGACTGGCAACCTCGTCGGTGTCGCCGCCCCCTGTGTCAGCTTCGGCAGCCTTCTGTAAATTGCATTTCTTCAAATGCAGCCTTTTCCGCCATGGAAATATCAACGAGCACCACCGACCTTGTCAATTGCGGCATGCTCTGCGGGAAAGACGAAAAAATGGATATCAGTGCAAAGTACATATATGTACGCTTGAAAAACCTATCACCAAGGGCCTCTTTTATCTGATCTTGTTAGGCCAGCGTTCTCACATTTCTGGAGTTGCTGTCCTCGAGAGCGGATCTTGTCATTCATTTGTCTTTCGTTTGTCACCAGTCTCTGGGGCTTTTAACCTTATGTATCTATTTTTATCGAGAATAGCAGGTCCTTGCTTTGATATTTTCCCAATAGGGCATCTTAATTTTGAATTGCCTTCGAGACAGGGTCCTGATGTAGTCCAATTTTCTCTCACTGGGGTCGCAATTATTCAATCTCATGTACTAGATAGACTGCTGCCATTTCAACTAACAAGGTACCAAGATGTGTCTTATTTGATCAGTGATCGGAGCGAGACTCCAAATCCAAATGTCTAACTATCATGGCCAATGTAGAAGAAGGGATATGAGTTTCATTTTGCTAGATTTAGAAGCGCGGTACATGCCATGGAGGAGTCACATCACTGAAGCTCCAACCGGATAGCATCGTATTGCACATACACGGTAGCGGGGAGAATAGCAGTCTCTGTATCCGTTCCATTGTAAGGTAAATGCAATCGTAGCACATTCTCTCCGACATGTAACCAATCCGCAGGGAACTCCATTCTTGACCCAACCTGGTAGCAGCTTACAGCAGACCGCACAATACAGCTGCTTGACTGATTAAACCCAACTACGAGAGTCAGGGGATTTACCTGAGTGTTGATGTAGCTTTCTAGTGACAAATTATTGTATGGCTCGACGGGATTCCACACATCTGTGTTGCCTGCTGCGGTCTTTGCGGCGGCCAGTTGTAAGGTTAATGTGGCTGTTTTGCGCTTGCGCAATTGCTTGGAGCTGAGCGTGAAATGAATGTTCCAGTCGTACGTTGTGTCAAACTCGACGTGTGAATCCTTTGCTGTTGGCCCGAAGACTGACCAATGGGCAGTGTTAAGATCACTCGCAGGGTCGCTAGTACCAATAGTGTAGTTGATACCATCAGGGAAATCAGAACGCCAGTCATAAGCTCCCCAATAGATCTGATACTCGGGAGGACGGAGCGGATGGGTTGAATCTCTCGCATTGCCATGGCGGAACTCCCCTGACGACTTGTCGGGAATTCCAATTCGCCAGACCTCCGTTCCCGCCGACTCTTGCTTCCAAGTATCACGCAGTGCAGTCTGTCTTCCTGCACGTATGATGATTCCGTCGCGCACAAAGTCACCAAAAATGCCCTCTGCGTAGACAGTGAGTCGGTATTTCCCTTCTTTAACATGATCAATGCTGAAGCTTCCATCTTGGTTAATATCCGTCCAGTACTGATAGGAGTTTGGAAGGGCGCTATTATCTTGGAAGTATTGGCCGTTGACAGTGAGAACGGCAATTGGGCGAACGGCGCCTTTGGGAAGCTTCACGGTCCCCTTAATACTGCCTCGCTGGCTTGAGGGGGCATATCCAACGACATGCTTTGCAATGGAATCATAGAATGCAACGTTCCACTGAGGATTTGCTAATTCTTCTGCCTCCGATCTCAATTCCTTGAGAGATGCCGAGCCCTTGCCGCCGTTGAAAAGGTAAAACTGCGGACCAAAAGTTCGATCAAATCCATTTGTGATATTCGGCGTGCCCTCTCCATGATGATTTGATACGATATAGTTATAAACGATACCATCCACGGTCAAGTCAGAATGAAGTGGACCCTAAGAGATGTCAGCCCCTGCATTTCAATGTGCTCAAATATCGCTTACACCATAATATGTATCCTGGGATAAATGTGTTAGATAGGATTCAATCTCAGTGACGATTGGAGCAATATGACCAACCTTAGTATTCATTACTAGCCACGCGCCATAGGTTACCCCGTTTGATGTGCTGCCATCGGCATAGAGACCGTGAACACTATTGTTTCTCCATTCTAAAAGAAACAACTATTAGTCAACACAACAACCAGTAACCGAGGACGATATGAGGTTGGCCGTACGGTTTGAAAATGTATATTTAGTAAAGTACTCAGAGAATTGAGTATAGTACGCATCGCTTGGCGTGTTGTTGAATGTCCACGTTGCATCTTGGACAACAATCTGCTTCGCAATGGCGTCCTTGCTTGGCAGTGGTGCAGTCTGGACCTCGCTTGACGTCAGATGCGTCCAGAGATCACTATTAGGACGAAACAAGGTTCGGAGCTCTTGTAAATTGCGAAGGTGAGGTGTGGTTTCATTATGGTAAGCCAATCGACTGAACATGTGCAATCCAGTCTCGCCATCGCGCAGGAACCAGTACTGTTGGAATTGCTGACCCGTTGGAGTGTATGTGTCGCTCAGAATCATGCCTCCATATTTGGTTCCAGTTGAGTCTATGCCCTGGACCACTTCCATGCTCGGGGATGTGGCCCCAGGTGTGTAGAACCCCGAAGGGATACAGTAACAGTCAAGATATGGGCCGATTCCCGTGGATCCAGACTGTGCACCCAACAGGTCCTGGCCATCAAGAGTGAGATCGACGATCTGACCAACACTCTTCCGAAGAACAGCTGTGAGGCGATCGTTGGCGAGTGTGATGTAAGTCTGGTTTTCTGCGACATGTAGCGCCGTTGCAGCAGCAGCCAGTGCCGTGAAGGCCGTCAACAACAAAGCCCGCATGTGGAGTGTTGAGAATTAATGTTTTCCTTTTTTAACAAAGTCGTCATGACTTGCCATGTCTTTATAATTGATCCCAATATGTCGGGAAATCAATGCCCCGAATCAGCCGACTGCTGATGGACGTAAAGAGCATTTGCATAAATGTCCCATTTCACTTTGGACACGGATTTTGAGATCCGCCAATTGGGAATCCATGAATACCAAAGATTTCCAAGCTTAAGTTGCAGAAAACCCACTCAACATGAACGCACCCCACCGGGGATTATACGGGGAAGTCTGGGGATGCGGGGGTTTGACGGAGAACGGAGAAATTTCTCGGTCATTGTTCGCCCGAGATTGTTCTTGGGGGATATTTTGTGAAAGTACTTGGTCAATAGTGAAAAAGAGAGAAGTAGGAGCAACAGGAAAGAAACGAGAAAGAAAGGAAAATAAAAGTCAAGAGAGATGTGTTGACGGCCTGAGATATCAGGCAACAAACATGCTGGATGAAGTCGGAATATAGCAGAAGATACCAACTGCATCATTTGCTAGATAAACTGATAGAAGTAACAACCTAGAATAGTCAGGATACATAATAAGAACCAGGGGTGGTCAAGAGATATATGGGGATTCGGACCATATCCCGAAGACTTTCCGGGTCAAGGTCCGATGGATTGGCAATATCGCAACATTAAGTGGATTGGCACTCCAGCAGGCCCATTCTTTGTGGGATTCATGGTTAAGCATGTTGGTATTCAGTGGATCTTCTGGATCTTTGCTATCCTCAACCTCTGCCAATTTGATGGATTTGTAAGATCATACCTCGATTGATGCGTTCGATCGCTAACATACTACCTATAGGCTGGACCCTTTTACTTCCCGGATATGGTCGCTGCCTTGGGCTTTGGTGGCGCCGCCGGCTTGATGGATGTGCCTTGCTGCCAATCATGGCAGTCCACTTCATTTCGACTCGTGCGGACAAGCGCTAGTAGGAGTTGGCGTTTTTCAATTTATTGCTTCGAAATAATACTCTCTGTCATAATCAAATATTCTGTGCCCCGACTGTAAAAGTACGAAGAAATTACCGGAATAGACATTGTCCTGAATAGAGGCGATTGTGAATTCGTGTAGTAAGCCCAAGCCTTTAGGTATCTAGAAAAAGTTGCTTGGAACACTGTTTAACCATGACATATCTTGAAAATCAGGAAACTCGAAGCTATCCAAGATAGCCGCATTCATTCCTTCGCCAAAGGATATATTATTCCCTGCACTTGCGTTGGCCCCTGTCTCATGGCTCGGGACATGGCTGATCGGCATTAGACCTTCAGAGGCGACTTGTTCATAAAGAATTTCAAGAGCTGCCACACAGCGGCGAGCGGATGTGCTATAGCTTTGGTATTTTCGAAGAACTTCCAATGCATGGTTCCAGGACTGGACAACCGAGCTTTCTGTGACCTCGGCAAGGATCGCAGCGCACAAACGGCCAGCGATTAAGACAGTTGCAGAGGTATAGACGTCTGGATAAGTCAGAGCCTCGAAACAGAAACACCGGGGAAGTGCATACGAACAAAGGATGTTATACCACCAGGCCGGCAGGGGGCCACCGGTCCCGTCAGCAGGGACATTATTGTAGATTAATTCGATGGACTCTTGAGCAGCTTTGACACATATGATAGAGCACTGTAGCGCAACACGGTGGGTGAAAGAGTCGTTCGTCGAGACCAATGGGTATGCCGTCGTATTATCCCGGACAGCGCAGTATTTAGAGAGAGTTGGCCGAAACAAAAGTATCCGCACGTGTAGAAACCTACAGGAAGACATTGGTTAGTGATTGCAGGATACCCGAGACACAGTAGTAAAACCACTAACCTCGCACGCAAGACAATGCTTTGGCGGCAAAATATAGGATTTGTGGATACTGTGGAAGAATCTCCACGTAGGTGCGGAGGAAGGCTTCGTGTCCATCGAGTGAGGGAGCGGTCAAGCTCAAAGATAGTCCGCTCTCCCTCGCTTGCAGAATTATCGAAATAGAAGTCATGGATATCTTCCGCATTATCGTCAGAGATTGGTTTGTAAAGACTAAGAAGCACATCGTTCATGACCTCGTAAAGTTCTAATGATTTAGCGTAGAATGCCATCATCGAAGGCCGATCGGGAGGCTGGGAGACCTCTTTGCTTGACCCATATGGGATATATTGGTCGTCAACGGCGGCTGGCAGGGGAACCGCCCCACTAGAGGCCTTTGAGATCATGGGAGGCCGACCAAATGTCATAGATATAACCCTTTGAGAATAATGAAATCAGAACCATGCCAGAGAGTAGCCAGGGCGTATTTTGAACATACCGATCCATTAAAATACAACCGTGCCATATTTTGCGCGCCAGCTGTTGCTCTTGGAAACTCCGAAGGCGGGCAATGTTTTGGGGAAGATGGAGTCCCAAACTTTGAGCATTACGGATCGCGAGCCCTGTGACAATCCAACATTGATGTGCAGAATCTGTACTTTGCAGATATTGGGCCATGAGAAGTAAGCATTGAATCAAACCTGCAGATCCAGTATCCCAAAGATTGAATTGAAACAGGCCTTTCGCCCGGGAGAAGAATGCATCTGCTGATGCTTCTCGTTCATTAGGTCGGACAAAATCGGCCAATTGACTGGCCAAGGCGAATATAACATTCAGCGTGCACATAAGCATGTTTTCATCGTATTCCAGGCTATCGCCAGTCCATATTTTCGTATACTCTGTTTTCATCTCAGCCGGGACAAGAAATGGATATAAAGGGAAGACACATTCCCAGTAAACTTCCATGAGGCTATCTGCCATTTTTCGCGGGGGGAGCACATAGTTGGCCACCGAAGACTGGTTTCTTTCGCTCCGCGTCGGCATCAGACTTGAAGGAGCAGCCAGATGAGGAACCGAAGATCTTCGGTGAGGTGATGCGACTCTCCTGTCGACCGCAGTTCTAATTTGGCGCATGAACCCTGCTGCGCTGGAGCTTCCGAAGAAACCTTGACTAGGTCGTTCTCCCTCTACAGCACCCATCATCGCATTTACCCCATCTTGCTGACCTGTGGGTGTGGATATATCTCCTGGGCTATGGATGCTCCGGGTATAGTTTCCAGGCGTTTCGGGCTGGATATGACCAGATGTCGGCGATAGCAAATTTGCTTGCTATAAATCGAACTGTTAGAGAGTGGAGCTAAAGTATGATGATATACCAACCGGCGTGCTTTCTGATCTATGGCTCTTCTCGGAGTGTTGGGGGCTTTCAAGTTGTTGGATCCGACTCTCTAACCTGGATATATAACTACCGGAACAGAGATTAGCAAACGGAAGCTGATTTAGCTGTAGAACTGATAGCGTTTACGTTTGCCTGGCTCGCTTCTTCTCCAACTCTCCTGTATAAACACATCGGAGCCCCTGGTCGGTCCTCTTGCTACATGGCCCACACACTTTATTGAGTCAGTACGGGTGGCATTCCGTTTGCACCCATAAGGACATACCCGGTTGTATCCCATCACAGCGAACTTTTCTTCCTCGACAGTCATCACAGGCAACAGCAATCTTCCGACGTTTTGTTCTAGGGTGGGATTGAGATGCCGAGTGGTCCATGATGACAATTGCAGGAAGTTTGGAAACGAAGGGACATGGAAAGTTCGGGACTCTATCCGAGACCACGAGAGTTACAGGAGACTAGTGTGACCGGAAGCGCAGGTCCCCACGTGACCAGATCTTACATGCCTCAAGTAATTAACTATGTCCTCGGACATTGCGGGGTCGGCTCCGCTTCCGGTTGGCCAGCTTATCTACAATGTACATCGAACAGCCCCTGGAGCCTTTCCAGAGCATCTACTTCTTGAAATGCCGATGCAATTAATATCGCCGGAATTTATCCCTATTTGCATAGGATTGAATATTCAAGTGAAATTAACCCATCCGAGCCAAGAGTCGGACATGTGTTGCATATTGCCATCAAGCCAACCAAGAAATAAGTCATGATCGTCCAAATTCGCACCGTCAAGCAAGTTCGCATCATCAATCGGTTCACTAGCTCCAGTGTTTTCTATGACAGAGGATGGCCCTTCCGTGGAGAGGACTTGGTCCAAGACATGGCGGATTGCCCTCTGACTTTGCTGTGCCACACGGTAGTTACCATCATGGGGATTAATCATGGTGTCTAAATATGCCGCGAAAAGGGTCAAATTTTGAATGGTCTCTGAGCGAGGAAAGCCCGGAAAAGTGCTTGTCACCGTTGATCGGGATCGACGAAGTAATTCTGCACAGAGAACACCGGCAGAAGGGAGTCCCGGCAAGAACACCTAAATGTGTTTTGAGATTTCAGCATTCCAGCCTTCTGCCATGATAAAAACACATACTTAACTTACATTAATAGCAAAGTCTTTGATGGGCTGTCTAGAGCGAGTCTTCTGGGAAATCATAGTGACTAATGCTTTGAGTATCTCTCGAGCGATACTAATCATTGCCTCGGGCTGTGTCTGAGTGCGTTTACCAAGGGTCTGGTAGAGCAGGAACTCGTTGTGGAGAAACTCTACATGAATCTCGAAAAGGAGATCATGTTCTACCCTGGGAAGTGCCACCCCGTCAATATCAGGTTTCCAATGGAGGAATTCTGGCAGTCCCTGTCGTAATTGGCGGGATTCGCGTGAAAGCTGCCTGAGAATGTCAGCCTAACCCTATATTTGACAGGATATTGAAATATCAGCGTACTCGACTCTTTCACAAAGATTCTCGAGCTGGCAACTTAGTGAAAGTTCCAAGACCCTTTCACGGAGAACGCTGGTGATCAAGGCAATTCGTGGCCACGTGCCCTTCGTCAAGCTTGATTCTAGATTCCATCCAGTCTTCTCATCCAGTCGCGCGATTGCCGCATTACGAATGACTGAGTCTGCGAAAATCTCCTCAATGCTCAAGTCAAGTGGCATTTGAATATCACAGTAGCGCCAGCTGATGAGCGGCGGGCGACCCAGGAAAGTGGCAAGCATTTTGTCCACTGAATAGGCCGCGACCATGGTTCTTTTTCGCATCTCAGAAAGAAAAAATGGAGCCTTGGTGCTAGAGTCCTGGTGAAGCCCGAGTGCAAATACCGTTGTCGATAATTCTCCTAACTTTCTCCATGGTCGAAAGTCTAGGAACTCCGTTAGACGATGATGGCAGGCAAAGAATGGGATAACAGACCACTTTCACCATAGACTATTGCTAAAAGTGTGACCTGGTGCAACAGCAGCCAGGCTACAATGTCATTCACAATTCCAGTACTATCGCAGAACTGAAGACATATGTCCCCTACAGCAGTTGCGGTTATAGCCAAACTTTTCGGATCCATCGTATTCTGACGCATGAAGATAGGGTCATCATGGGGGACCCAGTCAGTGGCTAGGCCTGTCAGAGTGAAGAGCATCCCAATCAGCTCCCATCTTCCGGCAGCCGCAGACTGGAAGTCCTCCCAGGTCATCGAAGGGTGTACCTCAAGTGCTCGGCCATGCGTTTCAAAGAGGCTTTTAGACAAGAACAAAGCGCGTTGCCTTGTGTCCATATGCGCAGATTCTAGTGAGGTCCACATCTTCTCAACGGCAGTGAAAATCATGTTCGTAACTGGCCAGCCAAGACTCCATCCCTTCCATATCTTGAATCGAGCGGTGACCACATCTCTATAAAATGGGAGGTTCTCCAGTAGCGCCAAGACCTGGGCACCGAGATTGATCCGCCTTTGGTCGATGGGAAACTTATCATGACTAGTGAGGCATGGGAATCCGACAAGGAGTTCATTTCTGGTATCTGTGAACGCATCGGAGTAACTAGTTTGCCCCAGAAACCCTGGGGCCGAGACTGATGCTTTTTTCCGCGTCCAGGCCTCGTTCTCATTTTGCATTCGATTGACGTTGCTGGAAGGGTCTGATTCAAACACGACGCGGCGTTTCTTTTCGGGGCGTATTCCAGTGAGGGGCTGCGTTAGTGGTGCCGGGTGATAGATGCATTGAAGACCGCGGCGCTCACAGCGTCCACAGATAGGACTTAAATGATCACATCGCAACTTTGAACTACGACATGACTCGCAAGATGCTAATTGACCATTACGGCGGGTGGTTGCCATTGCATGGACACCTGGTATGACTAGGGAATGGCAGTCGAAAGCCAATACATGTAGGTGGTTATCGGAGCTCGGTCCTCGGAGCTCGGAGTTGGATGACTAAAGGTCGAGACCGGCACCTGTAGTAGCATGATCTTACAAAACACCCAAGTAAGATGTGTAATAGAGTAGCTTGCATATATTCTTGTATCTACGCCATTTAGGTAGAAAACATATTCTCCGTGAAACTGCGTAGGTTCTATTGTTTTAGAGAACATTTCCGGGGGCAATGATTTATAAAGTCAAGCGCCACTGAGTTGATATTATCCTAACGATTTTATTACCTAAATTGTAACCAGATAACACCCAGAATTCATCAATATTTAGGACAACGTGGATGGTACGGTATTCTCAATCCGCTCTAAATGTTCCACCTCCAATGCCTTGGTCATTTCCATGTCACTCTCCCCAGGAACCTTGGGATAAAATTCAACCTTGCCACCGTCCTGAAGGACCTTAGTGCGGTCCAGGAGAAGACGAGCCCGGACATAGGGGTCCAGTTTCCAGTGGTTAACCCGAAGTCGCTCAGCTAAATACGCTCTTTCGCTTTCGCTGGAACCGATATGCGTCGTGTCCTTAGATTTGGTCGCATTGATCCACGCAGATGTGGCAGCTAAGAATTCTTCACCAATAGCTTGCCGCTCTCCTTTCAAGGCGTCCCGTGTTGTAGTATCATCCATCTTTGAGTTCTCGATGGAACTGGGCTCAACGTATCTGTATGACCACTTCTCGTCACCACCCACCTCTTCCACGATCTGATCCCGGGGGATGAATTTCTCGAGGTCGGCGACGCTATTTGTGAACTCAACCTTGGCAGCAATTTCAGGATCCATCCAGCCTCGAATGAGTCGCCAAATTCCTACAATCCAACAGTGAGTCCACAAAGGCACAAGAGACAAGCGAGGGTATCTTTGGCCACAATAATAACTATTAACTGACCTGAAAACACCCACGGGGCATTATGAATAAGCATTATTCCCAAACATTCAGGATAGTTCGCTTCGAAACACCTGAGAATGAATTTCACGGGAGGATATTCCTAACCAGTAATGGTCAGCTATTCAACCATTGGCGGAGATGCTACATGGACAGAAGACAGTGACATACCATATTGGACAGTCCAAAGCCTGTCATATCAAATAGGACAGCCTGACCTGGAGTCAGTGACATCGTTCCACCTTGCCGCCCTCAAAAAAGAATACTTACTGCAGTCTCAACGGAAGGGTTCAATACAAGTCGCACTGATTCAATCACATGGACAATATATCGCTCCAAAGATTCTTCACTCTGATCCCCAGGCTTGTGCAAGCGGACTCTTACCATCACGATTGGGCGACCCACCCTATCAACGCCATGCACGTAACTTTTTCCCATGCGCATTTGAGACAAAAAGTCATTCCCAGCTTTCCGTTCACTTGCGCTGGATTTGTCTTGGGTCTGCTTAAGGGCATGGAGCTCTCCCTTTGCCATCACATCTTCATCTACGTGCATCTCCTTGACTCGCCAAACGACTGCTTCCATCATCATTGCAAATGACTTGGGAACATCCCATTTGCGAGCGCGGAGGAAGCGCAGAAGCACGGCATCGGGGTGGTCGTGTTTGAGAGTGTCAAGCACTCCCGTACGAAGCTCAGTAGGTGTGATCTCCGAGAGGGCCTTTTTGATAGCGTTGGATTCAGTTATCCCAGCCCCCATTTCTCCAAGAGATTTCATAATATTTTGGTGATATGGTGTATTCGGGGTGGGGATGACTTTTTCCGAGACGTTGCTCTGTGTGCGACCGAGCAGGGACAGCCGTCTCTGGGGTTGAGTTAAGCTGACATGCTCCGCATAGTCATTGGAAATATCACTGCTTAAGGATGTTTCGCCTGCCTTGAGCAGAAGGGACCAAAGCTTTTGTAATTTAGCTTCCTGATCCTTGTTGATGTTGCCCAAGAAGCCGGGCTTGGGACCATTAGAAGTCATTGTTCTCTGACTTGGACGTGCAAAAAACGGGTTGAGGTCGAGGTTGAATAAATCGTCTAAATCGCGGGGTATTCCCTGGTCTTAACAAAGATCCCCCAAAGGTCGAAAGCGTATCAAAGGCGGAAGCCATATAAATCAAGTAGATGATCATCGCAGATCCACATGAAACCCCTCATATCATAGACTCTACCTCGGTCCCCAGAAATCGGGGAACAAGCTTGCCCCTCTCTGTGAGGGTTTGGTCGATCGCAGTGATGATCGCCATGACATAGACCAAATAGCCAGCTTCCCAAGTTTCAGCAACATTTCATAAGGGAAGGCTCGGGCCCTCGGTCTCAAGTACCGTGAACATGTGGTAAAAATGAATTTTAGGATTTGGGACTTTCGCCTCATTCTCGCAGAATTATGATGTAGAAAAATGAAGAGGCTAATTGTATAGTAGGAAGTGTTTTCCTGGCCCCATACGTAGACTTGATGTATGTATTCTCGTCCATCTACTTCCCTGAAATTACCCTAGGCTAAAAAATCGAGGTTATATACATCTACATCGTATAATTCGTATCCCATTGATCGATGACGTGGTTGCTTGGAAAATACCTATGGTGACATCCCCTTCAGACATAGGAATGAATGTTTTATCAATCTGGGGCGGGTAAAAGCCGGTAGATTTTTGCCTAAATTCCAGACGGTGATGACTTTAAAGAGTTCAACAGCTTAAGATATATCCCGCTCTTTACGCTTTGGTTATCTATCTTAGCAATATAAATACGTTATCGAGGGCTTGCGCTCAGACCAGTCGCAAAATGTGCTCATTACCTTCTACCCTCAATTCTTATATTGACTAATATCTTCTGGCTGTAGTGAAGAATGCTTCCATTATAACTGAGATGGAAAATGTCTTTTTCCATCTCAGTTATAATGGAAGCATTCTACATTCAAGTGTCAGGGAAGTGGGCCTCGGCGACTTTCCGTCAGGATTTGAAGCCTTATCAGCCAAGACTCATTAAGCTTAGTGTGTATTTCTTATCTTTTGTGTCATGATATAGATATATATGGGTATATATCCCCAACGATCTTGAATAAACTAGAAATCCTTTGGAAATATTGCATTCCATCGTAACCATGTCTACTGAATTCGAATCGAGTCACCTATCTTCAAAACAAGATGTACCAGTTACTATATCAAGTGTGGAAATCGACCCTCAAGCGGAGCGGGCATTGGTCTGGAAATTTGATCTTCGACTCCTTCCTGTGTTAGCGATCATGTATCTGTTCAACAGTCTGGATAAGTCCAATTTAGGAAATGCTAAGACCGCTGGACTTGAAGGTACGTCAACAGAACTCATCAGTGAAGAGTGCCGCATTAACAATTACAACAGAATCACTCTCACTCAAGGGCAATCAGTATAACCTGCTTCTGAGCATTTTCTTTGTCCCTTACGTTTTGACTGCACCTTTCCTCGGTCTTCTAGGGAAAAAATATGGACCAAATATTGTGCTGCCCTGCATGATGCTTGCCTTTGGTATTTGTACGATTCTTGTTGTCACTGTGTTCAACTTCGGTGGTCTCTTGGCTATTAGATGGTTTTTGGGTATGGCCGAGAGCGCCTTTTTTCCATTGGTGATCTATTATCAAACAACGTACGTTCACCCCTTTCAACCTATTGAAATATTGAATCACCCCTGATTCAGACCCAGTTTCTACCGCCGGGGAGAGCTAGCCCGCCGACTGGCGATCTTCTACGCTGCTCAAACCATTGCCTCGGCCTTCTCTGGCTTGCTGGCATTTGGAATCTTCCGTATCAACACGGGCCCATTGGCCCCTTGGCGGTACTTGTTCTTGATCGAAGGCGCAGGGACGATCCTTTTTGCACTATTTGCACTCTGGTATCTGCCTCGGTCAGCATCCGAGGCAACATTTCTAACACCCGAAGAGAAAGAACTCGCATACCTTCGTTTGCAGATTGATAGCTCTTCTGTGGTCAATGAAAAGCTCGACATCCGGGATGCATTCCGAGTATTCAAACATGGAACTAGTTGGGTGATTTTAGCTATCCAAGTTTGCCTGGGTGTTCCGCTGCAAGCTGTTCAGCTTTTTCTCCCAGTGATTATCCAGCGCCTTGGATACAGTACCGTGAAGACCAACCTATTCACTGTCGCCCCCAATATCTCCGGTGCTGCGGTTCTCCTCATCTTGGCCTTCAGCAGTGACTGGACGAGATGGAGATTCCCATTCATTGCACTCGGTTTCTTATTCACCTTCGTGGGGTTCGTGATTTATGCGACTATCGATGTGCAGCAGGATCTAAATGTGGCTTATTTCGCTTCATTTCTGATGACCTGGTCGGTTTCTTTCTTCATTTAACCACAAGAGACACAGAGCTGATATTATTTAGGGGTACATCTGCGCCTTCCGTTCTTCTCGACGCTTGGTATAACAACAACACTGCGAATGAAGGGCGCCGCGTGGTACTAACGAGTATTGCGGTCCCATTGGCGAACTTGATGGGGGTTGTCAGCTCGAATATCTTTCGCAAGCAAGATGCGCCTAATTATCTTCCAGCTTTAATCACCACGGCGTCATTTGGTGGGGTTGGTATTATCTTGACACTCTGTCTTGGGCTCTGGATGATGGCGGATAATAGGAAGAGAGACCGACTGCAAGGTGTTCATCTCAAGGCACGGGATATTCCTACGGAATTTCTCAAGGATGGGCCTGCGTGCGACAGCTTCCGCTGGTTTTATTGAGAGATTCTTCAATAGATATATACATTTGAGTCTGAGTCACACATCTCCCCCAAGCACATCCATGTCAGCTACAACTCACTGTATCTCCCGGTCTTGAGGTTACAGCAATCTAGGCATCCAAATGGTCTTGACTAAAGCATCTTATGTGAAGGGTCATTTTCCTTTGGATCACAATCTACATCCGGTTGGAGCTGCCCCAACAGAGTCGGGATATACAGGGGTCTGCGCTGCAGATTCGCACCTGCAATAGTTCGTTTCCAGGGGAATATCTGAGCACACGCTTGCCGGCGCCGTTGCGCAGTACGTATTGGTTGAGACTGAGGTTGTCATACCTGCTGGACAAGAGCTTGAGGGCATGCAGAAAGTATCCACAGTTGATGCGCCTGGGAGCATAGTCATGCTATACCATTGGTTTTTGGCGCAAGAGCAGGAAACGGCTTTATATAAACGAAGTATGTTAGTCACATTGTCTACATGCTATATTTTGGTAAGGCATATACTTGGGGCGAAATGAACAGGGAAAACAATGACGGAGGAAGGACTCACCACTGATAATAGTCGACTCTCCTCCTGCCAAGGTACCCTCATACAAGGTCGAGGTTGTCCAAGGGATCGCCCCATGCGAGCACTCGGTCGTGATCCAGGATGCATCAAGCGGGAAACAGGTCGACTGCTCCATGCAATGACCTGGGTGCCAAACTGAGGGGAAGTACCCCTCTGAGCACTGAATTGGGGGCTCCGGGCTAGCGCAGTAGGACGTGGGAGTTCCCATGGTACAATCCGTCGTGTATACCGCTGTCTTCCCGTCCGAGCAGCTGAGCGACGCAGCCTTGGTGATTGTCGCTGGAGGCACGGTTGTTGTACCTGCGGCAGTCTGCTGGGGGAATGCCACGACAACAGTAAAGAAGAAAGAGAACAAAGTGATGACTTCGAGAAAATCCATTTTGACAATCCTGGAGCTGGGCACAAAACGAAAGAAGCTGCCAGGGGTTTTGACTGTAAGAGGTACTGTGGATTTCAAGAACCTAACTCGAGGGCCAAACTTGGGTTTTATACAGATCTTACTGCGACGGGTCTATAGCCGAATTACTCCGTACGAAGTAGTATATTTTGGGAGAATCAAAGTGGGAAAAAGATTGTCGCTGTCCCACATGTGACCAGTATTAGTGGGGCGGTTTCTGCTAAGTGAGACAAAGGGTTCAGGCCAGCTCATAACGTTACCTCCACATCTACTGTCGAGTATCTGTCAAGTAAACGGGTAATTGGACGCCTTGCTCTTTGTCTCAAAAAAAACAGGGAAACACTCAAGGTGTAAAAATAGTGTGCATAGCGAGACCATTATCGGAGAACTTCCAGGAAGGCCCCCAGTGTATAGTGGACTCAGGCAGCGGAATTGTTCGTATTGTTAACATTTGCCGATATATGACTTAGTTCGTCCTGCAACACCAGAATCTACGGTGGGCATATGTTAATCTGGTGACTCCACACTGTTGGATGGTCTCGGGTCGCAAGAAGTGAGATTAGGCAGTGGTGAGGCGTTTCCGGGATATTTGTGAGAATGCAGGCATTCTAATGGCAGTTTGACCCTTAGCGTTCCCGCCCAAAAGGCCGACGGCCTATGGACATCACCTAGCTACCTAAAAACGCAAAGCCACTCTAGTAAAGTAAAGTACCACTGTTACAAGTTTTATACTGCATTGATGTCTGCCCCAGATTCAAGCAAGAACTCCGCAACAAGAATACCTGACTTTTAGCCGACAAGCTGCAATTAGAGATGTTCCGTACTTCTTATCGTTTATGATATTCACATCGGCACCCAGATCAAGCCACAGACGAACCATATCCAGATTCCCCTTCACGGCTGCAGCCTCCAAGGGTGTGCAGCAGGGATTTGTTGAAATGGTGCTGCAATTGTCTGTAACTGCCCCATTTTCAATCAGGAGGTTGACAACTTCAACCACCTCGTAGGTATCCCCGGTTGGCACCCCCAACTCAAACAGCAGCTGAACAATCCCCGCGTGGGCATTTTGAGCGGCTGAAACGAGCGCCGTTCCCTGATATGCGCTAGTAGCATTGACATCCACTCCTGCCTCCGCTAGTAGACGTAGTACGTCTGCGTGTTCGGCAAATGCAGCCATCTGCACACTATTTCCATAGTGGCCGTCCAAGAATTCGATATCCACACCGGCATCGAGCAGACATTGAACGACCTTGACCTGACCTCCCGCGCTCGCTGCATTAATTGCATTTCGATGCTTCCCTCCTTTGGCATTGAAATCTGCTCCAAGCCACAGGAGAAGCTTCACAGAATCCAGATTGTCAGTTCCCTTGTCATTCTCGTCATTGACCCTGGCACCTTTCGAACCAGTGAGCGAATCAGGTCTAGCATCCCCGTAAACGACGCTACGACCAATTGACTGGAAAATATCTACCGCAAATCGCGAAGCACTTGGTTATCTCCGTATAGAAGTGGATACCGACGAAGACACGAAAAAATATATCCAATTTCGAACATGTCCAAGATCTTGTCAAAGTATTCGCTATACTCGCCCGCGATCTGCGCACATCAGGATTTTGTTCATAACTCTCCACGGGTTGGACGAAAAGCATAAATGACATACAGGAACTTGCCTTGAGAACAACTCTCACGGATGCCCAAATAGGACTCATCAGCGAGACTCAACCTGCCACGACATCCAAGGCCCCGCCATACTACTCAACACCCGCAACAAAGGCCTTTAGCTTTAGGGCAATTTTTCTCGAAATTTTGCTCTTTTGCTGGTTGTCGATATTTTGAAGGTCATCAATCAGCTGTTGCGATCGGGTAGTAGCCTCGAATAAAGCAGTTTCATCGGCAGAAAGCTCTTGAAAGAATCTCTTGATCGCATCATGACATTCATCATTGATAGTAGAACTGTTTATGTTAGTTCTGAACACATATAAAGGATTTGGAAGGGCCACTCTTTCGATGAATGCATGTAGGCTGCAATCCGAGAAGAAAGGTAGAATGTGAATTAGAAATATCCCCCCTACGTACTTGATTTACTCTGCCACTTCTTGTTGTTCGTTCGACCTTTTATTAACATTTGCGGTTATGCTAGGAAATAATAGCACGTTTATGTGAGCAGACATCGCGAACGCTCCATTTGTCACTGGAAGATTATGTACAATTGGTTCGTAAACCGGTAGCCTCTTCCAGTTTTCTTCGGCAATGCAGTCACCATTCATGCCATGTTGCATTCATATTCGTTGTGCTCTCCGGCTGTCGCTTCGAGGAAGTAACGCTGGATACACCGGGAAAGTTCCCAAGACGGCAAAGGCGCGTGGCAAGCCCACCTGTAACAAAGGGTTGTAAAGTTGTATTGGGAGACCTTCGTGTAGACGGCCAGGGATTGACGGTCGGCCAGCAAGACGATGAAGCACGTCTGCCCCTTGGTCTTATCTGACTCGGCGAGAATAGGTTTTTCTAAAAACAAATTTACAAACTTGAACAATAACAACAGGGAGCCCCCGCCGACCCCAGTGGCCAATTCATAAGGATAAAACGAATTTCACCATCCAGTTCCAAAATCAAATATCCCCCGCTTTCGGGGGCTGATCTGGGGTAAATGCCCATCACATCCCCGCCGATGGCACCGGGACCATTCCCTCACAGGGGTATGCGAAAAGCCAACCTCCCCGCATTTGTTGACCTTCATCTACTCTCAGAAGATTCGCCGCCCGGAATTTGAATCCCGGATAGTGAAAGATAAAGCCACCCGCACATTCGTTGAGAAACGCAATTCCATCACATTCATCTATTTTATCTTTCCTCACTCTTCGACCTGTAACAAGCTACCTTCGCGATGACCCAGACCAGCCTGAAAGCCAATATCGGCGTTGTTGGCTTAGGCCGAATGGGCCAGCGCCATGCACTGAATGTCCTTCATCAAGTCCCTCGAGCAAGGCTCTTCGCTGTCTGTTCACCAGCGCCGCATGAGATCGAATGGGCTAAGAAAGACCTGGAGCCGGAGGGCGTGCAGGTGTTTGATACTTTCGAAGCGATGATTCGTACGCCCGGACTGGATGCCGTGGTCATCGCGTCACCGTCAGAGCTCCACTTCTCGCAGACATTGGCCGCCATGGAGCTTGGAATCCACGTTCTTTGTGAAAAGCCAGTGACCAAAGATACTGCTCAGGTAAGAGACAAAACACTGTCATCATGGTATAATCGCTCATTTCCTTTCACCAGCTACGGCAGTTGATGCAAAAAGCAGAGCTGTATCCGCAGACAAAGGTCATGGTTGGCTTTGTTCGTCGTTTCGATGAAAACTATCAGGATGCGCTCCGGAAGATCAAAAACGGTGCAATAGGCGAACCTATTATTGTGCGATCGCACGGTGCTGAGAAACTGGACAAAACTGGATACTTTATCGAGTATGCTCGAGTGAGTGGGGGAATCTTTTTGGATACTGTCATTCATGATATTGATCTCACCTTGTCAATCCTTGGTGATGACATCCAGCCTAAAGCACTCTGGGCGACCGGGATCATCTCCCATCACCACGAGATGAAAGATTTCAAGGACGTTGACAACGCTGTGGCTGTGGTTGAGTTCTGGGGTGGCCGGATTGCCCACTACTACCACTCCCGCACAACCTCTAATGGATATGACAATTCTACGGATATCATTGGTATGACGGGAAAAATCTCGATCAACTCCGTGCCGCACCACAACAGGGTTCAGGTGTCGAATGCAGCTGGAATCACGCAGGAAGTTAGTCACAGTTGGATTGACCGGTACCGAGAAGCGTTCGTGACCGAGTTGAATGAATTTACAAATGCTATATTAGATAAAAGTGAACTTCCGATGACACTTTCTGCTGCTCTTACCGGCTTGAAAATAGCAACTGCCTTGCGGAAAAGCTTGGAAACCGGTGAGAAGATTGAATTTGACGACAACGGAGATGAGATAATTCCCGGGACCAAATAAACCAATTTCGAGGACAGAATAGTGAATATTATTTGAAGTTCCACTTCCAACGCTGCCGAGTCATAACCCCTATCTCCTATGTATAGCTACACTAGTGCAAATCAGTATTGAGCGCATATCGACCACGTCAAGGACGGGCTCCACGCATCGGGGCTGTCTCACCGGTCCTAGTCAACGTTCTTGAGCGCTTTCTAAAAGTGATCTGCCCTAAGCTAGTGAAGTGTTTCGATCTTGTTCTTATCTCCCATTTATGTTGCAAATTAATGAGAGGCCTTTTGGCATGTCTAGTACTCTGCCATTTGAGAGCAGTCTCATCCATCACCCGAGAGGTTGTACTCAAATACAAGGCAATGTCACCTTGCGGGTGGATTTACGTTATGCCCAACACTGAAGAAGAAGACTTGGCAAGAGGGAGCCGTTATATAGCTCTGGCATATTGTCTGAGGGTCTCGAGGGCCAAATTGTTGCTCTCGTGTACATAACGATAGTCTGCCAAGGATGCGACAAAGTTCTTTTTTGAAAAGCAGATTCCTTCGTCACAACGCGTTTCTCTAACCCCTTATTTCCTCACCCTCTCACTGTGTGTAATTAATTAAAACGCAGTCAAAATGGAGCGCAAACCATGATGTTTCCCTTCCTCGTCTTCGTAGGAATTTTAGTTACTGGCATCGTTCTCTTAAGGCGAATGATGTGCTTTCATCGGGATTTCATTCCCGGCAGTCTCTAAACCCCAGGCTATTTGATTTTTAACTGTTCCCATAATATGTTCTCACGGCCAATGGTGAAGGTGGTTCTACGTTCACGAATAGTCTTTGCGTGTACGTCCTTCCGCCACGCAGTCCCACTTCTGACTGCTCACCAGAGGCGTAAATAGTGTGTGGGATGGGCGGCTCGACCAAGAGTTAAAGAGGTGTTGTGAAGCAATTCATAAACTCGTTCTAGGTTCTCAGGTCTCGGTTCAGGGACTTTCCGGGCGGCCCAGTCGCGGAAAAAGGCACCAGAAGGGAAAGAAAATGGCCCATGAACCTCCCGCAAAGCGACAGACCTGTTATTCAAACAGAGCTTTGGATCTCTAAGCCAGAAAGATCTTGGGATCTAACTACTGCATTGGGTTGCTTTCAATAATTGAATACAATGTCATCAGATGCTCAGACAAAGGGGTTTAGGCTGACGCATGTTGGTCTCCGAGTTGCGGATATTGACCAATCCGGTTCGTTCTATTCGGGTGTATTTGGCATAATGGACCTTGGCCGGATGCTGGATATAATTACAGTTGTTTTCCTCGGAAATTCTGACGCATCGAGCCCCAACTTCAGTGATTATCCGGACACCGATTTCGTCAAGATGGCAATCGGTGTTCCCTATATGACTAAGGCCACGCAATATATCAAAAGCCACCAAGTTAGAGTTATGAAAGAAGCTGGATCGACCCCGAGTTTAGAAGTGGTGGCCACGTTCTTGGGTTGCGAAACGCCTGAAAAGTGTTTTGGTAGCTCTTTGTGGCAAGCTGCTGCGGATATTCCGTTTGTGGAAGACCAAGATGGATATCTTACTGAAATTATACCCTACTGAGCCTCCTGTGTTCACCCCTAGAATTTCAATGATACTGTGGGCTTTGGGACTTACTGTATGCCTCGATCTCCAGATCTCACGTTGAAACCGTTTGTTGCGCGTTGCTTAAGTTCTGCAGTTATGGAACTTAGGTATTCCAGAAAAAAGGAAAAATAATTCCGAGTTGGATACTTCGAAGTGTGTATTTTCATCAAACCTGACAACAACTTCTGGCAGGAGCATTTCGGACACCACTGCATCCGTTCCCTAGTTGTCCCCCAATCTGGCCTCTCGAGTTTGTGATTCGGAATTAGCTCGACTGCAGACAGAAAGCCGAATCTTTTGCCACATCTATTGTGGTCTTTTCTGGAATATGAGTTCCGGATCTTCTTCCGGAACAGGGCGTATACCGGAAAATTAACACCCAAGCTAGTTTGGACAATGAAGACTTCCAAAAGAATGGTTCACTTTAATCCGGTAAACATCGCATCAAGGGCGATAGTCGTTAAGACTTCAACTTTCCGCAAATGTTCACCCCATCTCGTCTTTTTGGTGTGAATCTTACACATACTAAAGTTACGATAAAATCCAGAGAATGGCAGAACTACCCCAAAGTTTTAAACTCAACACTGGGGCCCAAATTCCTGCACTTGGGTTAGGTTTGTTGCTATCTTCCCGTCCACCTTGCTGTGCGCCTAAGTTCTAATTGTATTCATTATAGGGACATGGCAGTCCAAACCAGGAGAAGTCCGAGCTGCCGTCAAGCACGCACTTCAATCTGGCTATAGACATATAGACGCTGCATACTGTTACGGAAATGAAGAAGAAGTCGGCATGGGCCTTCTAGAAGCGTTTAAGAGCGGTGCTGTTAAGCGTGAGGATGTTTTCGTTACGACCAAGTTGTGGTGTACCTATCACACGCGCGTGGAAGAAAACTTCGAAAAAAGCCTGAAGGCTCTGGGTCTGGAGTATATAGACCTTTACCTGATGCACTGGCCTGTTGCGATGAACCCAGAAGGTGAGTACACCAGATTTCGGACCCAATCTAGCACCGGATACTTTTAACCTCCCAAAAGGAAATCATGAAAATTTTCCGACTCTGGGTGACGGATCCCGTGACTTGATGCCAGGTCGGTCTCACGTTGAAACTTACAAAGACATGGAAAAGTTACTGGACAACGGCAAGGTCAAAGCCATAGGAGTTGCCAACTACAGCCTCAGATATCTGAAGGAGCTGCTATCCCAATCTTCGATCACACCAGCAGTGAATCAGATCGAGAACCATGTTTTGCTGCCTCAGCAGGAAATCGTAGATTTTTGCAGAGAGCACTCGATCCATGTTACTGCATATAGCCCCCTCGGCAGCAATGGAAGCCCGCTCATGCAACTTCCCGTGATCGAAAATTTAGCGAGTTATAGAAATGTGTCACCTGCTGTGATCTTACTTAGCTGGCACGGTATGTCTCCATTCTCGCAGTGTCTTAAACCTTCTCTGGAAAGAAGAACGATTTTACTAATATTTTACGTCCAGTGTCCTGTGGACGGTCTGTGCTGGCAAAATCGATCACTCCAAGCCGAATCGAACAAAACAAATGTTTGGTGAATCTTGGGCGGAAGGAACTGGAAGCGATAAACATCTTCATTCAAAGCTTGGCAAAGAACCAGGGATTTACTCGTTACGTATATCCAGCGTTTGCTGTCGACTTTGGCTTCCCAGACAAGCAGTCAACCACCGATAGATCTTACGTTGTCCTTTAGGGGGCTTCAGTCGGTAGTTTCTAGCCAGTTACCCCAATTAGTGAATTCATTTCCATACACGTGGTGTCGGTTTGGCTACATAGCACTGTACCATGATGGCATCTCAGATGATCATCAAGACCAGGAGACAGCAGAAGTATATGCCGAGAAATATTGAGAGCAGTGCACAGTTTCTACATATGAAGTAAATCTGCGCCCTGTAATAGCCGATTAATTCTTTGAGGTACTTCGGGCATATGGCAACAGATTCCACACACACATCCAGTCACGGTATCTGGAATATCTTTTAACTTTCCGTATCCAAAACCTTCCTTATATTAGATTAAGAAAATATCGAGAAACCAGACTCAGAAATACGAAACATAGGATGTGCCAGCCCGGCTAGAGCTGCTTTGGCGTTTCTAAGTAAATACCAGTACGATATGCAAGTCCAGAAAGAGCTACGATCCATTCCATTCACAAGAATAGCAGTATCGTATCAACGAGGTCTGCACGGACACATGAAACTAGAAGCGCGAAAACTAAAAGAACTCAGAATGCTATAACAGAATGCATTGCTCCTTCGCGTTGATATACATCGCGATTATAGGGGTAACGTTACGAAAACCATGCAGTGGATGTTCTGGGTTGGCATATGCGGTGCAAGTGCTGGCAAGACGTGTGAGATGATGGTACAGTTTATCCCGCCGGGAATGCTAGTCACGGACCAGAAAGCAATAGGTGTAAACAGATGGGTTCCAACAATTGTACTACCGGAGACTTTTAGTTATAAAACAATGTCATTCGCCAGATTCTCGCCAATTAAAGATCAAGTCCATATACAAGAGACTTGTCAGTCATGCTAACGAGGTAGAGAATAGTATATACCCTGTTCCATTGACCTACAGCTATGTTCTAACTTACTGACTGATTTTGACCAGAATTGGCGGAACATATCACCTTAAAAAGCCTTATTCCGGGATATGAAATCCGCGCGATCAGAGTGTGTTTATCCATATCATGCGAAATTATATTTTCATTTTTGGGAGGTGGAATTCCGCACTCTGGGGAGCGGTGGATTTTGATTCTCCCCAGTCTTCTGCTATACTACCCCCCGCATTTACCCCAGGCTCTTGGTCTTATTCGGCCGAAATTAAGCTTGACTTGTCCGCTGCAAATCATAAATAAACGACGGACCACTGACTTGTAAGAGGCTTCCGGGATTTGTTTCCCTGTCGATTGACGAATATATATTTGTTGTGAACAACCATATCAGACCAACTTTGTTTCGTTTACTAAGACTTTCTACGTTCACTCAACTACGTTCTTATTCTAAATCATGTGGCTCGAACGCATCGAAGGATCATTGCTTACAGCGTGTATTACATTCGCCTGCGGCTCTGGTTTTGCCCTTTTTGGTTATGATCAAGGCGTCTTCGGCGGCTTTCTGCAGAATGACTCGTTTGTCAAAACATTCAACTCCCCGGATTCGACCCTCCAGGGCCAGATAACGGCGACCTACGACCTCGGCTGCTTTTTTGGCGCTCTATTTGCCATGTGGTTCGGAGATAAATCAGGTCGCAAGAGAACAATATTTTGGGGGTGTGTCACCCTGATCATTGGAGCCATTATTCAAGCGACCTCTTTTCACGTATCACAAATGATAGTTGGGCGGTTCATTGCTGGTATTGGCAACGGCATGAATACCGCGGCAATCCCTGTTTGGCAGTCGGAAACAGCAGCTGCACACCACCGAGGAAGATTCATTGTCCTTCAGCTTGCTCTTAATCAAGTCGGAAATGTGATGTCCCAATGGATCAACTACGGTCTCACTTTTGTGGCTACAAACAGCGTGGCCTGGCGGTTCCCCATTGCGTTCCAATGTTTCTTTGCTTTATTGACCCTCATTTTCCTTCCATGGCTTCCCGAGTCTCCGAGATGGCTAGTCATGAAGGCTCGAACCGAAGAGGCCTTCTCAATTATGAAGAGGCTCGGTGGCAAAGAACGCTCAGAAGAAAGCAATAGGGAGGTTTTGAACGCCATCGTGAAAAGCGTTCGACATGAAATGGAGGCACCGAAGTTCAACATCAAGGCTTTGGCAAAGAACGATAGCTTGCAAACCACTCGCCGTGTTCTTCTTGGTGCAGGCACCCAATTCATGCAGCAGTGGGGAGGCATAAATGTCATCAACTATTATCTCCCTGTCGTTTTCTCTTCGCTTGGAGTCAGCCGGAACATGTCGCTCATTTTATCGGCTTGTAATGCTATGAATCTGATGATATCTACCTGTTTCGGCGCTCTCTACATTGAGACCTTTGGACGGAAGAAAATGATGTTCTGGGGTGCTGTAGGGCAATCTATCTGCTTCTCCCTCGTCGCTGCTGGTCTTGCCCTCGCAACTAAGCACTGGGAAGCAGTTGCGGTGGCATTTGTTTTCGCCTACTACACGACATTTGGTTTATCATGGATTGCGGTGCCGTGGATGTACCCGGCTGAGGTCAACACACAGCGAATGCGCATTGCTGGTGCCGGCATTGCCACGGCTACGAACTGGATCAACAACTACATTGTCGTCCTGGTTACACCGATCGGAATTTCCAACATCAGTTGGAAGTATTATCTGATCTACGCAGTGTTGAACGCTGTGTTCGTTCCAATTATCGGATATTTCTACGTCGAGACGGCTGGCCTCTCCCTTGAGCAAATCGACTCCTTATTTGAGAGCAAGTACTCCGAAGAATCTCGCCCAACTGATTCCGTCTCCGAGCCAGGGTCGGAGAAGGAAAACGTGGAGCACGTTTCACAGGTGTCAAACATGACCCACAGTGCATGATAACATATATAAGACGAAGTTTGGTCTTGCTATATATATGTTAGTGAACTACAACAACTTCTGCCTAATGCATCATTGTCAAGGGCTAATGAAGGAGATGCTAAACGACTACTTCATCTTGCCCTCAGGGTGATCCATTGAAAATTAGTATGCAGTAATGTTCATTCTATTTTGCTTTTGTCTTCGCATAACATCCTTACAAAAAGTAATTGTTTTAATCGACATCCTTTGGATGGAAGCGGCCACGGTAAACCTACAGAATCATTTAGATCTTAGCGTGCTATTCGCATGTATTTACAAGAGAGGGTGAATGAATTTAGCACTCAAGGCTCAGCCAATACCTAAGTGTACCGACTTGCTGGTCAAGTGTGATGGAAGATACTTTCTAGTAGCTGCAGCTTTAGAAACTTCATGTGTCGTTTTTGCCCTCTTTCATCCCATGCCATTTCTT